TGTGCATGTAATTGCTGCTACACCCTTTACATTATTGTTTTCTGTTTTCTTGCCATGCATTATTATATTTCATTTTTGATTTTCAATGCGGATGTTTTTTTCGATGTTTTTTGATTAGTGAGAGACGAGGCGTCTCCCTGCTTTTGTGCCCATATACTAGATCGAGATCTGTGGATTGACTGGAAATGCTTCCCTCAACATGCGCGTGAAATCGATATGTTCCGTGTGAGGGTATTTTTGTTTTGTTTTGGCAGCTCGATTTGTTTTGCAAAATTTTGCTGCTTTGCTCTGTCCAAAAAGCCCTTGAATTTTGTATATTTTGTCAATGCCAAAAGCGGAAACAATTGAAGCTCATACTAAGACCGGGTTGGAGTTGTACAATTTTCCACATTTTCCCCCAAACGAAACCCCAGAACGATTTTGGACCGAAATGCAATGCGCAAAAAGGTGAGAGAACTCACCCTTTCCCCATAGGAACACACACACACACACACACAGCCATGGAAAACCACCGCGTGGCAAGCGAAAAAGTATCTATAAGAACGCCACAGAACGCCACCCCCTACCCCGAAAAGAGCGAGAGAGTGTGCGAATGAGTGTGCGGGGAGCGAGGGATAAACAAAAGTGTCGTAAAGTTTTTGCGTCGCAGCTTGAGCATAATAAAAGTCAGAGAAAAAAAGAGAAAAAGCACAATTCTTTTTTTAAATAATAAAAACCGGCTGCTGTTTTTTTGGCCAGTACAAAAATTCACTCAAACATTTTGGCAAATACAAAGGTGATCCAATATATGCGTAGATATAGTGGGTATGTGGAGGGGCATGTGGGGTACAAATTGATGGGAAAACACGGCACAAGAGTTTCGACTCGAGTCCGAATCGCGCGTCAAAACAAACAGAGAGTCGGAGCGGTGTCAAACCGAAGGCAAAATGCTTATAGATACGACGAACGGACGGCATGCACGATGAACGGCAGATACATGCACACGCACAGACACAGCTGTGACAGATACACAGCAGCAGTAAAGAGAGAGAGAGAGAGAAAGAGAGAGTTTTCATGTGAGAGAGCGCACACTCTCTTGCTCTCTCGTTGCGCATGCGTGCTCTCTTGCTGCGGCGCTGGCCATTTTGATATAAAGTCTCCGCTACTTGCGAGTAGACTTGGAGTCGCCAAAAAACCTCGCTACACGCCACATCGCAAACGCAAACCAAAAGAAATAATTAAATATATATTGCTTGAACAATCTACATATAAGTACTAAGTACATGTTACAGAAGCAGCAATTATTTTTGTTTTAAATAAAAGCCAAACAAGAGACTTGTGAATTATATTAATTCCAAACCAAAACCAAACCACACCACGCAACAACAAAAGCCAATTGAAACAAAAAGCTTCGGCTCTCGCACGAAAAGCAGAAAAAGCTCTGCGCCGGTCTCGTAAATAAGTCTGAAAAGCTGAGCAGCCGATTCAGTTATTGCTAAACTTTTGCCACACAAACAAGCCCAATAAAGGAGAGCTGAAAAGAAGCCAGAAGAATATTTCAAAGTGAAGTGCTGAAAAATATCAAGAAAATACAACAACCCCAAAAACCACTCTTAACTGTGATCCAAAGAACAAACAAAAAAGAAAAACCTGAAATTTTGTGCCAGTGCAAGTGCAAGGGAGAAAAATCTCCACTTTCCATAAAAACCAAATAAAAAATCTATAAACCCACAGACCAAAAGCCAAAAAAAATATGATGGGCACAATGTCGCTGCGCCAGCCCGAGAACTGGCTCTATGAGGTCTGGCAGAAGGGCTACGACAGCCCCTGCTATGTGATGGTGCCCAATGCAAAAGTATGTATAACTAAGAGACAGCTCATCCCCCCATACAAAATCGCAACCCCTCTCCTTCACCTGGTCTCCAACTGAGACCAGATGCAATTTTATTGATTTTTTCGCACCGCATCTATTTGGGCTGTCAGAGGCTGTGTGGCATTTTTCTGGCAATATTTCAATGTCAAAAAAATGGGGAAAAATGTGCCCGTCACTTGTCTGAGAAATTGCTTAAGCTAATGTGCAGAAATAATGTGATATTTGAAGTGAAATTTCAATCATTTCATCGTTTTTCAAATCCTTTGTTCATTTGATGACAAAAGAAGGCATCATCAGCAGCATCGTTTCGGCTCGGCTCGGTTCCTGTACCTAAAAAAAGGACCCCCCCCGACAAGTGTACACCACAAAAAACGAAAATCCGAGAAAAAAAAAGTACAAAAAAACCTTAGCCTCAGGGCCTCTCGTTGGCTCTTCCGCCATGTTTGTTTGAGAAAAATGCAACCAAAAAAAAAAATACAACCAAAACGAGAAAGAAAACTGAGAACTGCATGAGATTTGGAGAGAAGAGATACCCACAAGAGGCAGTGGGTAGGGGAGAAGAGAAGAGAAGTAGAAGCGCGTGACCTGACCCCAAGACCGAACCCAACCCGGTTCTCCAGTGTACAGACAAGACACACTCTGTTTGAGGGTATGAGTAAGAGTGCAGCACTCCATGTAGGTATGCGTGCACGTGTGTGTATAATTAGCATTGCTTCAGAGCGAAAGAACGAGACAGAGAGAGCGAGATTACTTCTCAAGTGCTTTGCCTACCTCCGTTACCTGTCCAGCGGTTAATTTTATCTCTGTCAACATATTCAGCGCAGTGCCCGGGCTTATCTTCAGGGGGATTGTCTTGATAAGAAACTGAAAGAATAGAAGAGCAAGCCATAAATTGTGCAAAGTAAATTGATAAAAGATGCAGGCAATGGCAGGGGCACACAGATGGCATCTAGACTTTAATCTCATCAATAAAACAATATATAAAAACAATAAAAAGGCAAGAGCAAAAATCAAGTCATAAATCACACAAATTATACAACAGCAAAACAAAGATCTAGAAATAAAATGCCAAAAATGATAAAGAAAAGAAAAGCAAACATGCAGACGCACCTGCGATGTCTGGGGACATACATACACCGTACATATGTAGATCTGTCTGTCTGTCTGTATTTATTTTGTTATTTTGCCTTTCTGTTTTGCTGGCTTTTTTGCACCTCATTGTTAACAGCAAAACCCGAGCAGAACCAAAGCAGTATTAACCGGTTTGCGTTTGTTTAATGCGGTTGCTGCCATTTAGTGTTTTTTTTTGTGATTTGTACCGAATTATGCCTCCAACTTTTATCATCTTTTTTTGCCTGTCTCTCGCTGACTTCTACTTTTGGTAATGCCGCGTCTTTTTTTTATTAATGAGTGTACCCGTGTCTAAAAATAAAAGTGGTTATTTTTATAAAAATTATTTATTAGCAGCGAAAAAAACGTGCAGAATACTCGGTATAATTCTCTCATTGCTCTTTGGTATATTTATTTTGTTTGATTTTATTTTTTCTTGGCCGTGGTGCCAAACCATGCTCCGAGAACATGCGACGGCTTTCCATGCCTCATGCTCATGGTACCGTACCCCATGCCTGCCCTATTCGGGGTGTGTGTGGATGTGGATATATTATATATTACCGCGTATCGTGTAGAATGTGAGAAAGTATGACTAATGAGTGCTGCATACGAAAAGCGTAGGAAACAAACGCGCGACGAGTTCACAGTTGTTCAATTAATGGACTTTTACCCTGCCAATGGGTATTATTATAGAAAGCAGGTGCTGATCTCTATAGCTCTTTCAACGCTTTTTGTAGGGCATCTGCAGCTGCGGCTTGCTGTGTTTCTTTGTATGGGGGATCTGCTAAATATTTATCATAATGACGTGCCGTGTTTCTGGCCTGACGTACTTATGAGCCGATTATATAGCCGTATCCTTTGGTTGATTGCTTCTTTCTTTTGAGACTTTTATATGCTCACGATGATGACGACCGACGACGCACAGCACTTTATTTTGTACGTTCGACAGAAATCAGGCCACAACAACAAGAAAATGTCGAAAGAAATTGTTGAAAGTGAAGACGACGACGAAAGCATCCAAGCGGGCAGCACAGCCAGAGGCTGACTATTTATAGAGATTTTCTGTTGTTGGTTGCATGGTGGGGAGCCCAAAGAAAGAAAACTCTTTCATGAAACGGAACTAGAGAAATGTCAACGACTGTGTGTGTAGAGGGAGAGAGAGAGAGCCGAGAGCCTCTTTCCCACATTCCGCCTATTGGCATTTCCCATAAAATATGGTACCTGAACACGTGCCTCTAAGTGCGCCTACAGAAAGCGAATGTACCACAGACATGGCTCTCTCTCTCTCTCTCTCTCTCTCTCTCTCTGCAATTATTCTAGAAAAAGTGATTTTGCCTGCTGCATTGCACGCGTTTTCCTTTTAGCTGGTGGCTACTCTCTAATAGGTTTATTAAATTTTTGCACGGTGCAGTCAGGGCAATGGCGATGGCTCAGGTGTGCTGCTATGCGGCAGCCATGATGTTGTGGTCAGGGTCTGTGTTTTTGGTGACGTGTTCCGGCTGCCTGGCATTGACAATGAAACGAGCAAGAACATATTTGATTCTTTATGGGTGGTGGTGGCAGCATTGGTGGGAAGCATTTACATTTACACAACAAGCAGAACAAAGTACCCGCAAGAGGAAACACGCCACATTGAGCAAATCAAACATTGGTTGGCAACAGTAAAAGAGCGAAATGCGATTTATGAATGGACGGCAACAAAAGCAGAATGAAAGTGTAGAAAATGCACAAAAAATGTTAACCAACAGAAAGCTGTAAGAAATCCGAATATGTTGCAATAACAGTGATAGCATAACAGCAGCAGTGTTAACTAACAGCTGGCTGAAATGAGTCAGAATAGCAGGTGTCGTGCAAATAACAGAGTGCCTGGTCTGGTCTAGCTACAGTAATCTGTAGGTAAATATTTCTTCTATGCGTCAGAGCTTCTATCAGTACATTGAATAGAGATAAAACTAAGATAATATTACCACAAATTACTGAGATGTCATAACAAACAAAATACTAATCAAATACATCTCTTTTTCTTGTGCTCTTCCAGGATCTGGTCAAATCGCATCTCATGATCGCCGTGCGCGAGGAGGTTGAGGTCCTAAAGGAACGCATCTCCGAGCTAATGGACAAGATCAATAAGTTGGAGCTGGAGAATAACATCCTCAAGTCGAACATACCGCAGGAGACGCTGCAGCAGCTGCAAATGCAGTTGCAGATTGCCGGCACACAGCAACCGGCGGCAGTGGGCGCCCCACCGGCCACACCGGCCATTCAGGCACCACCTGCAGTCGTTGCTGGCGCTGGTCAGGCAGCAGTGGTGGCAGCGGTGGGAGCAGCAGTTACCAGCCCTGCAACGGCAGCAGCACCCACAACCATTCCCAATGGCAGCGCTGAGAATGGCGGCAGCGTCATTGTCGATGCAGTGGCAGCGGTGGAGCAGCAGGCAGCGGCGGCGGCAGCGGCGTCTGTGCAGACAGCGACGCCCGTGAACACAAACGGCCCCATGTCCTAGGCTGTTGGTGTTTAGTCTTAGTTTTTCTCTCCTGGAACGTAACATGGCCGTGGCGTACACAGACCCGGCCACTGGAATGTGGGAAGAATAACCGTAATGTAAGCTCAACTTTGTCTCTTTGTCGAATGCCTAGCGTCGCCGCAGCCTGCGGCAGCACACGGACCGAACAAGAGGGAGAGAGCGAAGCGCAGAGCAGTGCAGGACAGCAACAAATTACAGTAACAGCAATAGCAATAGCAACAGCAACAGCAATAGCAGCAGCAGCAAACCCATTTAACAGTTTGCAAATGAAAAGTATTAGTTAAGAGCGAATGTTGTCTGGCCTGTCGGTTGCTGGCTGTTCCTGTAAACGCTGCGCAGCCGCTGTTTTGTTAATTTTCTCGATTGTGATATTTGTTTAACACACCACCACTTACACCACACATACACACCAACAAACACACACACCATCTAAGCAATTCATACACATACAGACACAACACACACCCATAGACTGCACGTTAACAGTGGTTGCGGCTGCGTGCTGTTAACGTTTGCTGTTAAGCTTAACAGAAGACGATGAAGAAGAAGAAGAATTAAAGTTAGTTTTTAAAAAGAGGCGCTGCTGCGCGTAGACATGATTTTTTTGTCCACCATCTTTGTTTGATTATCTTTTATCCTTGTTTTACCGTTTGTTTCCATGTTATTAACGCTACCAATAAAAAGTGAAAAAAATCGCCCAATATAAAAATACCATACCCATGTAGAATGTATACTACGATGTGCATGGACCCAAAATAATACTTGCAGAAAGTAAAATTTTAGCCAAAAAAAAACCAGCAGCAAAAGTTAAGCAAAACAAAACTCACATCAATAAACTGTTTAAGAGAGAGCTTGGGAAATGCAGAAAATGAATAGGAAGATGAAGGAGTAGGAGTAGGAGGCGATGCATAATGAATGGAAAATGTAAAGAAAAATATGTGATAATTTGCATTGTGCAGTCAGAGACATAAGATGTAAATTGTAAAAAAGTGCGAAAATGAAACAAGAGCGGAACGAGAAAGTAAAAATTCAAATTTCCAAACACTATTTAAAAATGATTATACAAAAAGCCAGCTGCTATTTTTATAATTTACATTTAAAACCTTACTTTTATTGTAAAAAACAAACAAAACAAACCACTCAACAAATATTAACCTAATCATAATTATGCATGTTTCAAATTAAAAAAACAAAAAGGAATGTAGTAGTAGTTTTAGAATGTTTTCAAGATATATTTTTAAAAACAAAAAATTGTAAAACTATTCGCAAAAGCAAACAAACACGAAAGCTTATCACAATTGTTTGTTCTAAAACTCTTAATCGATCAACAATCAATAACTGTAAATATTGTGTAAAACTTAACTAAAATTGAGAACAAAACGAAAGGAGAAACAAAGCAAAACAACAACTTCTAAAGTGCGAAAGATATTGAGGATCTTGAGGATATTGAGAATAAACAAGGAAAACAAAAACCCGCAAAAACCAACAAAACAAAACTGCAAAAAAGTTAAATTTTAAGAAGAGAAGAAAGTGAAAAGGTCGTCCTATTTTTGTTATAATTATTTAGTTGATAACTGTGCATTAATTTTCATTTCAAAAGATGCCTCGATGTTTACACAAAAAATCTGTTATAGGATTTTATTTTCCCATTCGTTTATCGTTTTCCCACCTCGCACTCGAAGACCACAAGACTCCCCTACCACAAGAAGATGAAAGATGAACAATTTTTTTGCTGCAGCGCTATAGATAAAAGTGCCCAAGTGTTCCGTTCGAATCCGCCCCGTAGAAGCCAAGTTTTGATATGCCAGAACGCACTCACTCATTTGGGGCTGACAAGGCAGGGCAGAACAGCCTGCCCTAACCCCAGCCACACCACACTCAATGCAACCTGCGGAGACTCAAATTGTCTAAGGTTTGCGTGGCAGGCGAAAAGAAAAGAAAAGAAAAGCTAGAGAAGGAATGATGGAAAGAAACCATCCAAAATGCAAGTGAAACCAGAAATGTAGTGAAACCAAAAAAAATACTCTAATTGAAGTGCTCAAAACTAGCGTTCTACCCTGGCGGATACAAAGGACGGACAGCATACACTCCCCTACCCAAGAAAACACCATAGTAATTCTGTTCAAAGTATTTTTCCCATGATTTTTATTTTTATTTTGAATTCATGTCTAGTTTTGCTCCTATGATTTCTACATTTTAAGTCTCTTTTTAAGCTTAACTATTAATTTATTAATTAGTTTGTAAGTGCAGCCACAATTGCAGATAAATTAAACAAAACGATACAACAAAATCAACTGCAAAAACAACTACCATTAAAATAAAGGAAAACAAATAAAATAAAATTATACTGAAAACCAAATGAAGTACCGAGTGGCTTCTCTTGTCTTCTCATATTGGATGGCTGTCAATGTCATATGCTGGCTGACTGGCTGGACTTAGGAAATGTAGAGAAGTCTTTTGGAATATGAATTTAAATGGAGAGGAGGTACATATGTACATAAGTATGTACATCCTCGTATGTCAGCCATTTTTCAACGTGGATTATCGCTGTGCAGGAAGTGAAATGGACAGATTGGACACCAATATTATTTAATTATAAAGACGTGAAAAGGAATACTCACTCCGCAGAGGAAGGCCGCGGCAGAGAAAGGGAGAGAGAAACATTCAGGGGCACTGGGGAGTGTTCTACTAAAGTCAGACTTCTTTCCTATTTAAGGAGTATCTGGCTATGTCTGACTTTGTTTATTCAAAATTAAGTAAGAAATGACGGTGTGAGGTAGAGACAGGACGGGAATAGAGGGGTAAACTGGTCCTAATCTCCTGCACTAATTTGGTCACTAGCCATCAGCTGTTTCTGCAAGATGGTGCCTTCGTTAAGCAACGGCGCTATATTTTGAGGCATAGATGCCGCCACTTTGACAATCAATTTGCAAATGGAAAGCCTACTTCCAGGCGGAGCACAGAAACTCCGAAACTGTTTTCTCTTACAATTTATATTCGGCTCTCTGCGCTTATGGATGTATTTATTTATTCATATTTATTTTACCAATTCGGGTAAGGTTTTTATTTTTCCTATAAATTTGTATTTTACCAATATACATTTCAAAATAGTAAACAATAAAAATTACCAAACTATCAACGACACTGTCTTTGGCTGAGGTGCTGCGTAAATGTACCGCAGAGCTCTGGAACAGTCACATCATTCAGTCCGGAGTTGGCAGTATTTTTTCCCTAAAACCCAACTCGTCGCAATGTTCGACTCCCAAATCTTTGGGGTTTTGGCCTGCCCCTTGGCGAACCAGACATGCTTTCCCTCCTCATTCAAGTCAGTGCCCGAAGTGTAGTACCGTATCGATAAGACACTGATTGATCAAGTATCTAAGCCCTAAAAAGTAAGGGCTTGTCACGAAGATAGAGCTCTGCCCTAAATCTCTTTTACAGATTAAGTATTATGAGACGTTCTATTTCATTTGTCATCTGTACAAGCACAGCCTAAGACTTTATTTGGGATAGCCAGAATTCATACAAGTGCGCATGGGAGAGTCAGGGTATCAGGGGATTAAATGGTATTCCGATCTACAAGCTAATTCGGCTCCCCCGCTTACTTTTCTTTACAAACTAATATTTAGAATGGAATGAAGAATATTTTTATTTGTTCAAATGATTCGTTGTTGGACATTTTGGTTGGTATCTAGGACTAATAAAAATAATGTAATAGAAAAATGTAAAATACTTTGTGTGTGACCGCGTTAGAAATCAGTTTCGGGACTTTGAGGTCTTGCTTCATCCTGCAGCTGTCTCTGATTGCTGATCTCGGCTTTTTGTACAGCAGGCGGAGTTGTCGGAGGCTCCGTTTCCGGAACAGGGGGAGCAGTTTCTGGCAGTGTAGGAGCAGTGGCAGGCAGAGCAGAAGGCACTCCCCGATGTGTCTCCTCCAAGGGCTGAGCCTGTGGCTGGGCCTGCAATAGTGGCTGTATCTTAGCCTGTGTTTGATTCTGCTTATCCACAACATCTTGACCCGGATCAGCCACTTGGCTGGGTGCATTGAAGGACTTTAGGGTGCCCAGCTGGGCGCGCACGTCTGTCTCGGAGAGATGATGCAGTGGCACATTTGCAGGTACAGCCAGTCGCTTGGGCGAGGTGTTGCCATCGTTGGCCTTGCGTCTATCCGGTGGGAAGATCACCTGTGCATAGGTCACACCACTGCCGTTGGGCGCAACAATGCTCTGAGCCTCACCCGAGGAGGTTGTCACCGAGCTGGGATTTTGATAGACTCCCACCGCATGTTGAGGTTCCTCGTGCGTGGCAGGCGGAGCATCTCGTCGCTGCATGGGCGAGGCTGAGGCCATGGATGTGGTTGTGGTGGTCACGGGGCTGCCACCACGTGGCGCAGATGCCGTTGCAGTTGTTTCCTCGTGTGGAATGGGCGCGTAGAGGGAAGGCGTGTAGTTGTTGTCCGTCACCTTGCAGTTGTAGAGGTTCAGGCCCTTGGCAAAGATAAACACCAGAATGTCAAAGAGCACTCCAGTGAGGATCAAGCTGGCGGTGAGTATGTCCAGAATGTTGCCATGTTTTGGGGTCTCGCGCAGCAGACAACGCTCATAGTTGGGCGCCCAGTAGACGCAAGTGGAGCCTAAAGTGGCAGCATAAGTATAAGCAAGCTTTCACCAAAGAACACTCGAAGATAAGTACTTACGTGTCACCAAGTCGTAGCTCAGATGCACGGGTATATAGGCAAAGAGTCCCACAATCATCAGCTCAAAGGCCAAGGCCAAAGACTTATCCTGTGGCAGCACAGCGCGCAGTGTAATCAGAGTCTTGCCAATGGCCATGACGCCCAACAGGAAGGCCGAGGAAATGCTAAAGATCTGGAAGAGGATGATGGCCTGCTGGCAAATGTCGCCACTACAAGCTCCAGCTGTGGCCCGCATCAGTCCCGAGGAATTCATCGTTTGGTCCCCGCTGCAGCTGCAGCCCTCGAAGATCTGGAAGCTGTTGATGGAGCTCTGCTTGGTGCAGCCTGCATAGCAGGGATTGAAGTACGTCACGGTGCTGTTCTCCGGGCACACGGGCATAAAGGCGGTGGGTGTGCACAGGCACTGGCTGGAGCAGTAGGGTTGGCTGAGTTTGCCACCCACCACGCCAGCAATGGCGCCCACATCGCAGTTAAGGAAGATGAAGCCCACGAAAATGGCCACCATATGGAGGCCCATGCCTATGTTGATGGAAGTGATGGTGCGCGCCGAGAGCTGTGCCTTGGAGATGACCAGACCACCAATCAGCATGCCCACCGCCATGACTGGTGGCTTCAGGAAGTACGAGACGAAGGCGGAGCGCCACTCCTCGGTGAGGCCATCCTGCTCGTTGTACGGCAAAAAGAAGCGACTCTGCAGATAGCTCTCCTCCTGCAGGCCAAAGTTCACCACGGCACTCTGCACAAACATAATGCTCACGAGGTTCACCATGAGCAGTCGATTGTTGAACAGCCGCTTCATCGATGGCCAGAAGTCCGTGTCGTCGAGGTAGGTGGAGAACTGACTGCCAAAGCTGCGCATGTTCGACTGCTCGATGATACGCTGCGCCGCCTGATGGATCACCGTCTTGGGCAGTCGCTTGGGGAACAGTCCCACCAGCACAGCGCCCACAAAGATGAGCGGCGCGAGGATGACCCAGCCCAGCCACCAGCCAACGTTGGTGAGGCCCACGCCCAAGACCAGAAAGGAGCCCGCCTGTTGGCCAAAGACGCGTGCCGCCAGCGTGGCTGCAATCACCGCCGGACTGTCCTGCGACAGCGAGTTGTCATCGATGTAAGTGACGCCAAGGGTGTAGTATGCCAGTCCAGCCATGCCCAGTGCCAGTTGGAGTATAAAAAGCATCACCAGAGTACTGGTGCTGCTCTGCTCCTCCGTTAGCGTTAGTTTCTGGAACTGAGCCAGCGAAGTGGCACACAGATTGGCATCCAAGAGAGCATCCTTTGCCTTGGTGCCAGCAGCACTACGAGGGGGGGAATCAAAACATTAGAGGGGACACATCTGAGCATCCGTGATGCCACTTACAAGTTCATAATGGATGGTATGACGGCAATGACACACGTCGCCGCCTGCAGCATCAGTGTGCCCACCAGCCACTTGATGGGATGAAAGACATCCGCCCAGAAGGCAAACACCAAGGCAAACACAGCCTGGCACAGTCCACTAGTCACCAGTAGCCAATCTGAGGGTTAGAGTACCAAAAAGAAACCCTAATAAATACCATAAAGAGAACCTTTACTTTAGTGACAGGAAACCCCATAACTCGGCCAAGTGTATCTCAAAATCCTTATCTGGCCCATTGATAGAGCTCAGATATGACGTATGAGTAATGCGGGAACACATTTGTTGAATTGCGATGTCAATTGGAGGCTCCCTAAATTACGAAGAACGTTTCGGCAATTTCCGAGACAGTTCACAGAATTGTTATTGATTAAGTATTGCAGAACTGATGACGAATACAAAGGAACATTTCACTTAACACTGAAATGTATTAAATTATGCAGCAAAAGTGAGCAGCAAAACCCAGAACTTTGTACCCATTAGTGCCAGTAAGAAGGGAACCCATAAATACCATAAATAACCGAACGACCAACACACCCTTGCACTCTGTACAACACTGGGTACCAAAACCGCGAGAGAACCGTTGGCCGCCCCCACCCACAAACACTGACAACAATCGCAATAACTGATAAGTCACAACAACAAAAATCTCTCTCCACGTAGAACCAGGCCAACACCTTGATTAATACCGCAGAACCAGAGCGTACACCTGAGTAATGTTCGCTGCTTGTTTTTGCGATAGCTGTGAGCTGTGGTCACTGCTTGCTTACTCACCCACTAGCAGCGCACTGTAGCCGTACTGGAAGGCAGCCTGCTTAGCCGACACACGGAAGTAGGATTCGCAGGCGCCTTGCAGCATGCCTGTGCAGGCCAGCACCAAGACAAATGTGCGCAGACGGGCATATTTCTGGCAGGCTGCACCGCGGCACCAGCCCAGACCCTTAATGCCGCAATCAACGCTGTCTGCGGGAGAGGAAGAGAGGAATTACACTGGAGGCACAAAATATTTGTATAGCCACACGCACCGTCGGGTATGTTGTTGGCATTAACCGCTATCTGCGATAGATCGGAGTTGCGCATATTTTGCGCCATGTTGCGTCTATTCGATTTCGTTTTTTATTCGTTTGTTTTTTGTTATTTCGCACTACTTGTTCTTTAGATATTCAATTTCATCAATGGCCATGAATCGATGGCATCTTCACCACACGCGGACGAGCCAGACCAACGTCTATTCGAATAGCAGGAATCGAGCAAACTGAGTGGCAAACTCTGCTGCTCTACCTCACCTCGCTCTCCAGTGTCTGCCCCGTCCGTCCATTGATAACAGTTATTATCTTATCACAGGTGAATTTCGTGCTTTTTGTTTCATTTTTGTGCTTAATCGTAGCAACTTTATTGCCGCCGCTTACGCATGCTAGGATCGGTGGGCAGCAGCATGTTGCAGAAGCATCAAGAATGCAGCTAAGCAATTGGGATCGCCATGTTGATGGGACTCATGTTGGGATTCAAGTTGCTTGTCTTATTCGATTGTGTTCCACCACGTTTAATCATGTCTATTCATGTTCAGCAAGCCTTGATTAAAGCTTCCAAATAAAGTACAAGAAATTCGTTAACTTAGAGAAACCAAAGAAATCGAAGAGTTTCTTTCAATGTGGATCAAAATGTATCTCTGGTGGAGTCTCCTGATGATTATAAAGTGCGTTCTGGCCCATAACACTCCCAGTTCGCCACCCATGCTAATCTGGGGCATAGACATGTGAGTCCAATGATATATCCATCTTTTGGGAGTATAATTTTTGGAAATTTTTCCTCTGCAGACCCCAACCCGAAAGCATCTTTCGATACATGAAAACCTTTGACTTGGTTAGGCTGCTGCGGCCGATACAAAAGGATTATATGATAGTTGTATATCTGGCCTCCGAGGTAACTCATCATGAAATACAACCGATTTGTAACTTGACTTGGAGCCAATTCCTATAGCTAACTGCTAAGGATATCAACTGCCCCTCATGCTTTCCGGCAATGAGTCAGATTCTGCCCGTGGTGTACTTCAGTCAGGTGGAAAAACCCTTGAGAGCCTTGAACCACCTTAGTCGGGGATCGCTTAAGCCGGGCCTGACTTGGCACTCACTACCCATGGATGGATCAGAGATTGACTTGGAGAAGGAGATACGCTGCCAGATCGGTAGCATTCACGGCTTCAACTTTGGGGATCGCAATATGCAAGCGCATGGTGGGTGCAGCTCAGCATTTATAGTTGATAATCTCTGGTATGATCTCCTTTTCAGATGCCACAATTGCCGCCGTGCTGGAAGTGCTCAAGAGCTGCCATATCATCCACATCTACACGGCCCTGGAGGAGGAGGCCACCGCTCTGAGGCGTCGTCGCGTGTACAGCATGTCCAGCCTGCGGCACAGTCACACCGATAACATAAATGTCATCTTCACCGGCGATGTAGGCCTCAAGGCCGACCCCACAAACCTCACGATATTGCGGCACGAACTCGCCATCGTTGGGGTGCAAAAGATCATCCAGGCCAAGGAGATCAAGCTGGGTCACGTGGTGCGCTACAATCGCACCTATGTTAAGCTGAAAACGGGCAACGACAGCCTCCAGATGGGCCTGGTGGGTGTGCAGACTGTCAAAAAGGGTTTCGTCTTGGCCTTGAAGACTGACATGGGCCACATGTTGATTGAGTGCTTGCCCGTGGGCGGCAGTTGGTTCATCACACGCATTGTCTTCAACACCAATATGACGTTCTATCCTCGGGAAATGACAGTCTTCAGTTTCCAGCACAGTCTGTGCTGTCAGTCCGTTACCGCGTATTCGGATGAAGGCTGGCGCGTGACACTGTACTCCTTTCACTTGGATGTCATGCGTAAATGTGGGTTGCTCTTATTCCTCTAATCATTAATCATTAATCAGTAATCATTTCTGTTTTGTTTAGCCTCGGACTCGGGCTATAATCCGGAATACGTACCAAAACCCTGCTGGCACTGCGACAAATACATCAGTTCCGTGCTCTCGCAGAGCATCTTCGCACTGGCCATTCTGTTCTTAGTGCTTTGCGTGGGTCTGATTATGCTCTGGGACATTGGCCGCAATAGATTCGTGCAGAATGTAAACGATCCGGATCTGCACATCAAAACGGACACTTAGGTACCTGCCATAGCCCGTTAGCGCTCTCTCTCTCTCTCTCTTTGAATGCACATTCTATGTATGCTCTCACTCTCCACAAAATCTATGCTCTCCTCTACACACAAGCCGCACACACTCTCCACACGCTCAAGCTGCACATAGACTCTCCACCCACACACAAGCTTCTGCACACACTCTCCACACCGCACAGATTCTGCCTAATTCACTTGCTTACAAATCTAATCATGGTGCGGTACTAGGCGATCGCCACTGTCAGTGGACAGTGGACAGTGGACAGTGGCATCGTAATAATAATGTCATTGTCGCGTTCTGTTATTGTCCCGTTCTATTGTCATTGTTATTGCTATGGCCAGCGCAAAAGTCTCCACAGGAGAGGCAACCTGCCTGCGAAAGACAAAGACAGCGTGATAACGTTTTGTGTTTTCTTTTTTTTTGGAGAAACGACCCAAATCAAATTTGCACGTGGGTCAGCCATGAGGCGGGGGAGGGTGGGGGTGTTGTTGGGCCTAGGAGAACCGATTGGAACTATTTACTCGCTTTATTTTATAGCTTTGATAATGCTTTATCGGGCTTCGATTGGCGACAAGCGACAAGCAGAGCGGCCCCCGGAATGCGGATAGCGACGAAAATTTGAAAATTACAATTTTCAGTCTGATTCGCGCCACAACGCTGCACGGTCGATCGGTCCTCTCTTTGTTCCACCCACCCATACTTGACGCTGCAATCGGGATACTCGAAGCTCGTTTACCCACGGGATAAGTTCCTTCGGCAAGGAACTCGAGCGGCGGCAATTTAATTAATCATTCGAGTGGACCTCGATAAGATTATATACGGACAATTAATGTGCGAATAATATAGGAAATCTACAAATTAACTCTATACTAACTAACTACTCAACCAAAAGTACGTATTGTGTGCTACACCTACAGATATAGATACAGATACAGATACAGATACAGATACAGATACAAATAATCGTAATATTTACGTGCACCTGTCTGGCATTCCGATTGCGGTGGGGAGCCACTATCTGGGCAGCCCCGGAGCCGGTGATTGACATTGGGGTAGTTCAACATGAGGAAGGGATATAGTAAACATGTGAATATCCTTGATAAAGTCTTAACAAGTTTTTCTAGGGTAGCGGCAGGCAGCTCAATCTGATCAAGAGTAGAGCCTCAAAAATAGAAAAATAATTAAACGGCTTAACAAATATTTCCTTGGCCCCAGCTTAGGGTAGAAGAACTCTGAAGGGAAAATCCACTGACTCACAAAAGAAGAACCACCCACAAAAAATGTAATTTGTGATTTCTGATGTGTCTTGTAATGAATCATTTACCCGAAAACAAAAGAATTCCACTTTGCCATGGGTCACAATCTATTCTACGGTATGCAAAGATATCTATGTGTGGCCTGACATGCGCATATCGAGTGATCTATGTTTCACACTTGTAATAAATCAAACACATCAATGAACAATGAAAATAAAAGGGTGATGGACAAGGAAATTATATTTGCACATTTATTTTGGGTGCAATGCTGGAGTTTCCATATACTTTTGGAGTTTGACGGACCCAATGAAAGCCTTTGTGCGAGCTGATTAGAGAGTGTTTTACGCACTGATTAGTTGGTATCATCAAAACATCTGAGTTCCACGAAATTACAACACAAGTCCAGCAATACAAGAAATAGAAGGATCATTTATTAGAGGAACTTGCGAAGAGGTGCCATAGCAGAGAGTTCCACGGGTCGGAACAGCACAGTTTTGAGGGCTTAAAATGTAATTGTTTTCGGATCAGGATTCCTCGAATCAAATCGAATTGTCATTGTGATTGAGCCACAGCTAGTTCTGGTGAAAATCAACTGTTGATCAGACCTCCAGCCCTCGATAAGATATCATTAGCAAACGATAATCGTAACCATAATTTCTCAAGGGCATGATTTGATCAACTGAAAGCTAAAGGATGCCTGCCTGTCGCCAGTCCGACGCTCAGTGGTCATCGTTATGCATTAAAAATATCAAAAATATCAGAATATCAGAGCACAGCATACCCCCAGCCATATAGATACCAAATACGAGGCCCAATCTAATCGTCTCTAGACTCAGTTCCAGTCGCAGTGCCAGACCTAATATGATCTTGAGAAACTGCCATTATCGTTCGTTAATCAGTACGCCGAATTTCGGTATCGAGACAATTAACTTTCGGACTTTTATATGATGTCCTAAACGAATGTTTTTCGGGATTCGGTTTCAAAGAGTCATGGTTACCCGAAGTATTTCCACATGGCCCCATAGTATTACGAGTGATCGTTGAAGAAATCTTTGACCAGAAGTTAGCGATACTCCGACATGGACAGACGTTGCATTGCATCGGTTTAGTTGCTTACAAAGCGTTTACCTCTTGTATCGGTTCCATTGCAGCTAGCCTATCTGCTACTCCCCTTCAACAGCCTGTCTGGTGGCACACAATCTTATCTGTCCACCGCGTTCAATGGTCTATTGAGCTGCACGACACGGCACAGAGAGTACGCGGAGCATCACCCCACAGAGAGGCTGAAACATGACGGAAGTGCGACGACGGGGCTCGGTTCCCCCACCGGGACACTACCTCTGCGGCATGGCCAACTGGCATCCGGCCTGGCTGCAGAAGTATGCCACCACAAAGATGTTTATGGGTGTCTATGGATTGCTGGGCACCATTCAGGCCATGTCCTACATGTACTTCATTGTGACGCTGACCACGCTGGAAAAACGCTTCAAGATACCCAGCCAGACGACAGGTGAGACGATGGAGAAACTATTCTAAGCATCACTCTCTGAAGTCCTTTCCTTACAGGCATTATGCTCAGTGGCAATGAGATCTCTCAGATCATGTTGTCCCTCATCTTGTCGTACATTGGCGGACAGCGCAATCGCCCGAGATGGATCGCCTGGGGCATTGTCTTCTGTGGTTTGTCCTGCTACATTCTGGTGCTGCCACATTTCATCTATGGCGCGGGGCAAGATGTGTTGCAGTTAACCAAGGAGTATCAGGATAGCCTAAGGAATGGCACAACCGATGCGAGTGATCTACTGCCAGTAAGTACTTCTTTCTCCCTCTCTCTCTCTCTCTCTCTCTGTAGACTATAATGTTTCCCCATTCCCTGTCCAGAATGTCACATCAACCCAAACCGAGCAACTATGTGGCATGGGCAAGCAGACGGAGGGCTGTGATGATCTCTTCACCTATGTGCCCCTCGTCTTGATCTTCCTCTCGCAGTTTGTGCTGGGCGTGGGCAATACCCTGTACTACTCGCTGGGCCAGACCTATCTGGATGACAACACCAAGAAGACAAACACGCCGCTAATGCTGGCGGTGGCCATGGCACTGCGCATGATTGGACCCGTCGTTGGCTTCTTCTTTGGTGAGTAAACTGCAGCGAAAATGAGCTCACAACCTGCTAACTTTGTGTCTCTTCCTGCCCAGGTTACATCTCCCTAAACACCTTCATTGATCCATCAAAGACCCCGCTGATTGACAGCAAGGATCCGCGTTGGTTGGGCGCCTGGTGGCTGGGCTGGGTCATCTTGGGCACGCTGATGTGCCTCTTCTCTGGTCTGATTGGACTCTTTCCCAAGCAGCTGCCCAAGCGTCACGATCCCATCAAGCACAACTCCCACCTGCCGCTGGCCATGCGCCACGAGGAGCTCAAACGTGAGGAGAATCTCTCACTGAGCAGTCGCTTCTCCTCGAATGCGGCCCTGGACAACATTGGCGCGGGGGCTGGTGCCAATGCTGATCTGCCCAAGCTGAAGGACTTTCCACGTGCCCTCATGCGACTGTTGCGCAACAAGCTGCTGATCTTCAACATTACCTCTGCTGTGTTCTACATATTGGGAGCCTCAGGATTTATGACTTTTCTCACAAAGTACATGGAAGTGCAGTTCCACAAGAACTCGCAGAGTGCCACCATTGTGCGTGAACTTGAGGCCTTAAAATGTATCCCAGACTAACGAACCTCCTGATTTCTTTTAGGTGGTTGGTCCTGTCTCCATTCTGGGCATGGTTGTTGGCCTAATTGGCTCTGGTCTGGTGCTGTCCAAGAAGAAGCCTGCCGTCAGCAAGGTGCTCATGTGGAACGTCATTGTGGGTTGTGTCTACATCATGGGTCAGATTTCCTATGCTTTTCTGTACTGCCCGGATACCTTTTCCATGACACATGTGGGAGAGTAAGCTGCGCAGTTCTCTCTCTGAAATATCCCAAACTTAAAGCAGTTCTTCCACAGCCTCAATCTCACGAGCGCCTGCAACTCCAATTGCTCCTGCAGCGGCATTAGCTACACTCCAGTTTGCCATGAGCCCACGGACACCACCTATTTCTCCGCCTGCCATGCGGGCTGTCAAGGCTACAACACAGAGTCAAAGCTCTACGAGAATTGCAGCTGTCTGGCGGATGCCGGCGTGATACAGCCAAATGCGGCACAGCGACTGCTGAAGCTGCTGAAGCCCACGACAGAGACAGACTGGAAGCCCACGTTGCAGCCAGCACTGGAGTCCACGATGGATCCAGATATGTATGAGTCCAGGAGAGACTTCAGGCTCAGTGATGGAGTGCCACTGCTCAACGATGACAACGATTACAATGGCTTTGATGAGCGGCTGCCATCCCGGGTGCGACGCTCCACTCCCGAGCAGGTTATACGGCCTGGCATCTGCATGCAGGGCTGCAACTGGAGCTTCTGGGTGTTCTCCATCACCTCGATGGTTGTCAATTGGGTCGGATCCTCTGGCCGCATAGGCAATGTGCTGGTCAACTATCGTGCAGTGGAAACAGGCGACAAGTCCTTTGCCCAAGGCCTGGCACTGATGATGATCAGCATGTTTGCCCTGATTCCAGGTCCGATTATATTCGGACGGCTCATTGACTCCACGTGTCTGGTGTGGACAAAGACCTGCCATGGCAATGGCAATTGTCAGCTGCACGATCAGACGAGGTTCCGTTACTCCATTAACTTTTTATCATGCCGTAAGACTCGCCTAAACTCTCTGGAAACCTAATCTAATCGTATCTTCCTCTCTCCCCTGGTAAGTGCTCACCTTCATTGGCATGTGCTTTGACTACCTGGTCTGGTACTACGGCCGGGATCTGGACATCTATGGCGACAAGGAGGCCAAGCAGCAGGAGCGTGCTAACCCCAAGGATCAGCCCATTACTCCATTGCTGGCCAAGAAATCCGAGAAGATCCAAGAGGCATACTAAAGCCAGAACCAATGCGTGATACTCAGTTCTAAGGTCAGGCGAGATCGTGGTCCTGAAACATAAAACGAATCGGAGGAAAAGGGAATTTTTAGCGTAAGTATTGGGAGAGGAGGATCCAGAAATTACACAGCCAAATGTACAAACAAACCTCTCGCTGGCGCCTAGGCCCTAGGGAAGTGATCCATTTCTTTGTTGTTATTGTTCAATTGTTCATTGTTGAAATTGTCATTGTTTTTTTACTACCTACCCATTTAAGGAACACAAACATAAACCAAACCATGTTTAGCTTTATAATAAATGAAACTGAATTTATATTGTATGGTAATATCCATAAGAGTGTAAAATTATAGTTTCGAAAGGGAATTAATAACAACTTGAAGCTGGGTGCTCTTAATATGAGACTCTAAATCTATATTCTTCAATATCTATTTGCTGTGAATATCCAACACTGAATGACTGCTGAATGGTTTTGAAAGAGTTCTTCCATGGAGAACAACTTCAAGAAGGAAGCAACTTTAAGGTAAGGTACTTCCAGATGGATTTGGAGAAGGTGTTTCGTAATTGATTTTCACCCACGGAGCACAAGTTTTATATTTAAATGAACTTTGAACAAAGTAACAGGTTCCATCAAAACAAAGGCATACGATTTCCGCTTTTTCATCTTCTTGAGACTGTGCATGACCCGAGTGCTGGTCGCTAAAATTTCCATAGCAAGCCAACACTTGAAGAGCTACTCGCACCATTGATCGACATCTTGCCATGTCAACTTTACAACCGATACAGGTCTGCAGAGGCATATGACAAGAAATCTTGGTGTGTCAGCCCAATCCAATTTAAAACATACTGAAATCAGACTTACTTTTTGTATTTGTTTTGGTAGCAATTCCAATTTTGTAACTCGTAGAGAACAGTTTTTCAGTATTTTAGTTTTCTTTGCTTCGGTTAATAGTTTTGTATACAAATTTGTTTGTGAACATTTTCGAACTAGTAACTTTTATGATGAAGGAGGAAACAAGTGCGCGGAAATCAAAGAAATGAGCCGCAAAATTTTGAAAGGGATTAAAAACAATAAAATTCTTTAAACTATTTTTTTCCATTTTGTAACTTGTAGAGAACGGTCCTAAATATTTCTTTTTTTTTTTGCTTTGTATATTAATTTTTGTGTAAACATTTTCGAACTGATTAAAAATAAAAATAAAAAATGTAGAATTTTAACAGAGACATGCACCTCTCGGGTGAAGAACATTCCGTGCTCAACTGATTTTTTTGGAAGTCTCACACGAATCTGAATTTGACAACTGAAATGTCAGCGGGCATGGTACTGGGTTAAGTTTTTATGTCGTTTTTCTGTATTGTGAGTTTTACCAATGTTGATGAAGCTAGTTCTTAACGGGCCATCATCGCTGTGAATTCACTTTGTTGCCTTTGGGAGAAAACGAATTCGCAAGTCCTTTATTTTCTATGGGGTATTTCCCGTGCTTGGACACACCCAACATTTTCACTTAAATTTCACCAAATAACGACTAGTTTTTGCTTTTTGGTTCGCTTTGTGTTTTCATCTTTTTTTTTTGTTGTAATTTTTTGTTCACGTTTTATTGATAAAAAATGTTCAAATGTATGCGTTTTTTTGTTTTTGTTTTCATTTCATACGTATGTATTTTTGTATAATAATAATACATTTGAGTTTCGTTTTTCTGTATAAATATTCCCGCTTTGTCTATATATTTCTATTATTTCGATCGCGCTCTATTCCCTTACTTATGTTGTGTTGGTGTGTGTTTGTGTGTCGATCGCTGTGAGTGTACGAGTGTTGTGTTTGTTGTGTGAAACATTTTTAAATAAGTTCTCGCGTGGTCAACAATTATATCGCACTTATTGTATTATATATTATGTATATAATTAATTAAATATCCCTCTCGATTTTGTCGACGACTCTTAGGCTGTGGAGGAGGCTGTGGAAAGCGTTAAAAGCAGGTTTTTATTCCATTCTGTTAAGTACGAGCGAGTATTTCGCTCAAAAGTTAAATATTTCTCAGTTAATTGAATTAACTTAGACAAAGGGCGACTGGTTTAACGACTGTTTGTTTAATGATATTATGTATTAATAATTTACTTGCTTTTTTTTGTATGTTTCAATGGCAACAACTTTTTGATTTCAACTTTGAATTCTGTTAACAAAGGCGAGGGAATGTGTGTTTTAATTGTAGGCAAGACGAGGAGTGAAACAAAACTCTGAACAATGTGTGAATATTATTTTTTGAAACCGCCTTGGTCCTGGTCCTTAATGGTTAAATGATATAAAATCAAATAAAAACCTCGTTCGAGTTTTTTTGTTGTTTTTTGTTTCTGCTTGATAGCAAAAAGGCATTTTTATTTTTCCTTCATTAATTTTGGGGGTTTTCGTATTGGTTTCGTGGATTTTTCCACAGGATCTCTTCAATTTACTAAATTATACAAAAATCAAATCAAATTCGTTTGTGGTAGCAAAACAAATATGAGGGGGGAGGGTATGTTTTAAAGGGAATTTATGCATAAGGTAATATAAAATTATATATAATGTTCTCCCCCGTACAGTTTCGGATTTGTTTATAAGTAAATGATTTCAAACAATCAATCATTTGAGCTTACGAATCAAGCTAACTTTTTGCCAAGATATTTTGGGGCTTAAACTTAAATTAAAGCCTTTAGTTAATATAATATGTGTGTGTGTGTATTTATAAAAAATAGAAATATAAGTTGGTTGGTAATCGCGGTAATTATTTAACAAAATTTTTAAATACAAAAGGGAAATCTATGGTGGTTGATTGGGTATTTGGGGAACCGTGGCGGAGACCTGCAGTTCGGTTATATTTTTCTTACTTTTCGCTTGTATAAATATAAAAATTGGGTAGCTTGCAGCTCTTAGTTTTTTGTTTTGCTTTTTAGTTTTTTAAAAGATTTCACGAATTGCGCGTGATTTAGGCATGACGTGTACTTGTTATATAATGTTAATGCTTACAGTTTTATACAAAAGTAATAGACCAAAAAAATAATAAAAACGACGGCGGCAACTACGACTCGTACGTCTGTGTGTGTGTTAGAGAGTGTGTGGCCTTAACAAACGGAAATTGTAATAAGAACCTATTTAATGCGTGTTATCATTCTTAATCAATTATCATAATCGGCATTATCATCTCTGCATCGTGTCTCCCCCCCTCTCATATATATGCATATATATATGTATATGTGTGTTTTCTTGTTGTGTATATATATATAAATAGTACATCTTGTTTCGCCATGCAATCTGATCTTGCTACCGATTTTCATTTAGTTACACATAAATATAGTTTATGTCTGGTATATAATGCTTTTCTGTTTCGGTCTGTCTCGGAGTGCCTGCATGTCTTTTCGAGTTGTACGGATCCGTTGCAACGCCTTCATATCTCGTTTGCTATATATATATAAACTTCCTCTAATCAATGTTTAATCAATTGCTATTGCTGTTAAACGTAAAAGAACGCGGTATATGGTGTAGTATGAGTGTGTACTGTTCTGCCTTGGGTTTGTTTGTAAAATATGAAGAAAGCGTGGCGTTGTTGTTGTTGTTGTTGTTGTCTCTCGTCGCGGCGTGTGCAATGCTATTTCTCAAAAGTCGCAGTGAAAGGCGGGCGCTAGAATGTAGCTTGGCTCAATTTATTCGACCACCTTCAGTACCTTACCAATGGCAATGGTTTTGTCTGCAAAAACATCAAGAAATATTAATGATTTTTGTACATTTTCGGGGTATCCGAACTCACTTTCATCTCTCAGCGTGAAACGACCCATTTGTGGGAAGAGCTTGAACTGTTCAAGGCAAATCATTCCAGAGCATTCAATTCGCATAATTGCAACCTGATCCTGTTTAACGAACCGTGGACGTGTTTTTGATTTGTCACCAGACTTTTTGTCGACCAAACAGATGAGGGCCTAAGGGTTATCAAAGCACATTGAGTAAGTACATCATATGTATATGGGATGGCTTATTATAAAGCCTGAACTCACCTTTACTGTAACCTCCTCGGCAGCGCAGTGTATGTGCATGACGGCCGAATAACCCGCACAGATAATTGATTTATGTTCTAATATAACGACCTGAGCATCAAAGATTTTTCCCGTCTTAATGGGATTAGTGGCATCGCAGAGTACAAAGCCAGGTGAGACATCTTCCTCCTCAATGCCCTGCAAGAAACAAACCGAAATAAATTTAGATTCAATGCTCGAAAACGCTGTAAGATTCCACTCACTTTCAGCTTGATCTTGACATTCTCGCCGGGACCAACAGATGTGACTTCAAAGTCGTCGGAGAACAGTTGATCCACGGCCACTTGTGTCTGAAGAAAATAATCAATAAAAATGGAATTAAAATCGAGGTTCTAATTAATAATAAAGTCGATTTTACATACCCTGTTTGGCATTACTAGCAAGTTTTGACCTTTGCGCGCCATTCCGGATTCCACTTTGCCCATCACAACTGTTCCCATATCCTTGTATTTGTCGACAATAGGCATGATGAAGGGCCCGTCAGACTTGCGATTGAGCGAGGGCAGTTCGTCGATGAATGGTATGAACGCGGGCCCTCTGTACCATGGGCAGATGGACTCGGGAATTTGATCCTTTAGACCGTAGCCGCTGAGGCCGGAGCAAGGCATAAAGGTAAGATCCTTGGCTGGATTGAAGCCCAGCTTCTTGAGGTATGGTAGTATCTTGTCTTTGCATTCGTTGTAACGCGTCGGATCCCAACTGACTGTAGGATCGTCCATTTTGTTGACCAGCACGACCAGATGCTTAACGCCCGCCGTCTTGGCTAACATGGCGTGCTCGCGGGTCTGTCCGCCTCGGTCGAAACCCGTCTCGAATTCACCCTTTCTCGCTGAGATGACCAGAACCGCCAGATCTGCCTGTGCCGCACCGCCAATCATGTTCGGCACAAAGCTCTTGTGACCGGGGGCATCGAGGATGGTAAAGTGCTTGCGGTCTGTCTCGAAGAAGGCTCGTCCCACCTCCACGGTTTTGCCCTTGTCGCGCTCCTCTTGGTTTGTGTCCAGCGCCCAAGAGAGGTACCAGCTCTCTCGCGACTTTTCACGTGCTTCGCGCTCGTACTTCTCCAGCGTTCGCTTGTCCACCATCCCTGTGAGCGACATGATCTGTCCGCCAATTGTTGATTTGCCAGCATCTATTCGTAAGACGGGAAATGAGTTATGTTTCACACAAGTAAATCGTATCCACTTACCAACATGACCAATGAACACTACGTTCACGTGCTCCCGCTTGCTTCTGTTCTCCTCGACCTTGACGATCTTCTTTTTGGACACCTTCGGCGTGGCCTCGCCCTCCACAAACTCATCCTCGGCCTCTTCGTCTTCAGGTGTTATGATTGTATCATCATCCACATCCCAGCTATCAGCGGGATCGGTTTCTAATTGAAGAGAAATCACATCACATCAGTTAAGGCTATGAATTTTGAGCGGATTTAAAGAGAGGAATGCCCGTCTAATGGAATATTCCATGAATGTTGTGGTTTTCGAAGGTTCAACTAATATTATAGGACGACTTTTCCCATTTAATTGTTTAGTTCGCCTGACAGAGACATGCTAATCGCTTGGAACCCAGATGAGTCACGTGTCACATATGTGGTGCTAAAGGCAAGGTTCGCTAGTGATCGAAGACAGTTTCAGGAGGTTGCTAGGGGGGCCAGAAGACATTTTACTTGCATTCAGTTGAAGCTGGACGCGTTTTGGGTTTCACTAGGAGATGATTTAAGGCTGGATCCGGATGTCTCTGTCCGTGTCCACAGTTACTAACTTTTCTTCGATTCTTCCTTGGAGCCAGTGCTCTGGGTTTCGGCGCCGTTCTGTTTAATCATTATTACATCACAGAAAACAACAAACTGTTGCCCAAAAGGTGAGTAATTTTGTCGCGTGGCTTCTGATCGCGCCGAAGTGTAAGAGTCAACAGGCAGGCACTACTACTACGCGGTCCGCTCTCTTCGGTGTGACTGCCGCACTGAAATCAAGTTCGAAGCGATTTCAACCGCAGGGGAGCTGCAATAAGTGCCCCATTCAGGCCGAAACAGCCGCCACAGCGATAACGTGGAAGGCGAAGGCGAAGCATTAGCAGTCGCTCCACGCACCGTACGAAGCAGCTTGGAAGCAAAAGCTGCAACGTAAACGTGTCAAAACACATGAAACATGGCCAAACACGTGTGTGTGTGTGTGTGTGTGCTTGCATGTGTTGGTCAGCGTGTGAGGCAAATAGACAAATAAACGCATGCACAAAACGTAACAGGCGCTCGAATGGCACCAGTGAATGGCAAATGTGTGAAACAGCTGCTGTGTCGGCGTCGCCGGGTGAAATCCAAATGTGAAAGGTGGATAGAGATGCGCAGTGGCTGTGATCCACCATACTTAACATCCTGTTACGGCGAACTGTGATTTTGTCAGAAATTTGAGAGTAATGATATATCTTGAACTTCACTGAAATCTAACTAGCTGTGACTATCTAAATTTGTTGACTGTTTTAAATTGGAACTGTTAATTATATTTCCCGCTTTTGAAATATTTTGCTTGGGTAAATAGTGTTTTACAATCTGCTCTTGCGGGACTGCTTAGTCACGGGAAAATCATTTTCGCATCTCTGAGAATTGGCGACACGACGGCGTGGAAAGCGGCGGGCCAAAGAAAATGCCTGCCGCGACTAACAACTGGTTCCATGCATGAAAATTGCTGTTTACAGTCGTTGAAATACAAATCTCACACCCAAATGCAGCCAAAGCACAACACATGCGACTGTCACGATTGCCGACACTGCACACCGCACATTGAGGTTATGTGTTGGAGGCGATAATAACCTAGCAATTGCAGACTTTTCCTTTTCTTTATTGGTGTCGGTACCGGAAGGTTGGGGGGAGGGAGGCAGGTGAACTCGGCAACAACAATAGCAAGCGACTTGGCTTTGTTACATATACAAATGCAGGCGTCAAATTGACGTCACAGAGGAAAAGTTCAATGCGCCAAAGCAGTTAGAAAGCTGCCGACCCCATCTCCACCTCCCTGGTGATAGTCTTAGGCTATTTACCATTGTTTGCAATTTTTTCCGACGCGCTGATGATCTCAATTGGCCCCGCTGCTGCCGTCGAAGGCGTGGTAGCCGGTGAACCTGGAGCGGGCGAGGCTGAGTTTGAGGCGGCGGCCGACGAGGATCCCGCTTGTGTCTCCGCAGGTCCTGCTACTACTGATGCTGCCGCTCCTCCGGTCGATACCAAGGCATTTGTTGATCCCCCGCTGCCGGTGGAGTCCGGAGTTGTGGCTGGTGTGGCTGATCCCGACCCTGAGCCAGCTCCAGGCGGCTGGGTGTCCGCTGGCGGTGGCGCTTCGCCCTCTGCTTGCGCCGATACGACAGCCGCCGTGCTGGCAGGACCGCCGTAGCTGAAGCTCGGCACAAACTCCACTGCGTTCACGTTCAGCGTGGAGAATTTTGTGGAAACATCTGAGTTTTCTTGAGCGGCCATGGTTCCTGCTTTCAATTATGCCCAACGAAAAATCTCGCACTTTTTTCACGCGACACACTTTCGCCCTCCTTCAACTTCTGCTTCTTCTTCACGCTGCGTCCACTCACAAACACACGCGGTCGGCGGTCGGGAATGGCACAAAAACACACGCCTTTCGTTGATTCGCGGGTGAGAACTGTAGAGGCGGGGGCCTAAGCCAGATTATAAAGCTAGAATAAATAACTAAAAAGAACTGTTGTTTTGTTAGAACCTGATTACTCTTTTTGCACTATGGTAAATGCCAGGCAACTTTCTTTTGTTGACGACCAAAACATACGCTATTTTGGTAATCTAACCTTTTTCTGCAGGCCGTGTATGCCGTATTTGGTTCGATCTGTCTTTTATCGTGTGAAAGTGTGATTGGAATACCTGTCAACTAAATATATTCCTCTTAATTTAATTTATTTTAATATTATTTTACGCTTGAAGCGCCACGCATGGAGACAAAGATTGATAGTTATCGATACTATTTTCTTTCGATGTGCCAAAGTATGCAGGCTCCAGTTATTGGCTAGCTTGCCTAACTCATTTAGCCGAATGACTGAAATGGATTTAAGGGAAAAGAATGCAGTGAGAGCGAGTGCATATGTGCATAACTTTAGAATTACTTGTATATTTTGCCGCTATAATCACATTTTCTATATCCCAAAACAATATCTCTTCAATATCGCCTCAAAGAAATACATCGATTGAAAATACCTAACAAAAATATATATCGACATATGGTAAATTTACGGTACATTCTATTTTTAGTGTTCGTTCGGCATTGTTCTTTTTTGAGTTCAAAATTATTAGTAACATTTGTACCTGGTCAATGCGGCTCATCGTCTGCGACCAACCAATTTCGCTGTAGCGATTAAATTAAAAAAAAAGTCAATTTACGGTATATTGTTAAAACGAGAAGGTATATTTTTGAGGGTGTGTCGGTATATTTTATCGATAATTTCGCGGTCACACTGACCCCAAGTAAAACTGCAAACGCCATTTTCACAGAAAAAAAAATTGTGAACAGAGAGTAGACGCGTCAAAAATTTTTGGAACTAATAATTTAATAAGTGATATCCTATTAATATAAATACAAATGAGTAATGGTGGAAGTGCTGGGGGACTGGGCGGAACACGTCCTCCACCGCGCATCGATGGCATGGTATCGCTGAAGGCAAGTGCAAAAACAAGTCAAATCCCCGCACACAAAATGGCGGCCGGCTGCTGCGCCAGACAACGTTGCCGGGGTTATCTAACCTCTTTTTGCATATAAAAAATAATGCGTTTCTTTTATGTACTATACAGGTCGACAATCTCACATATCGCACCACTCCAGAGGACTTGCGTCGTGTCTTTGAGCGTTGCGGAGAAGTGGGTGATATTTACATACCGCGGGACCGCTACACACGTGAGAGCCGTGGCTTTGCTTTCGTGCGGTAAGTTTTTTCATACTAAGAGAAAGGTTGCTTTCACCACTGAATAATAAATTCATCCGGCAAAAGTCTTGCATTTCTTGCTTGTCAAATGTATGAACATGTCACATATGTGTTCGTATTTCCAGCAAATTTGAGATGCTAGATAAAATGTGTTCTCTTGCAACTGTTGCCTACCAAAACCCTGCTAGCCAACATACTGAGAATTTTACAAGAACTCTACTAAAACCACATACGATATCATCTCTGCATTATTGGCCATCATCGAAGATGTTTCAGCTACCTTTCTGGATATTTTCTACTGCAAAAAGTGCCAGATAAATTGTGTTCTCTTGCAACTGTTGCCTACCAAAACCCTGCTAGCCATCATACTGAGAATTATACAAAAACTCAGATTAGTCCTCATCCGTCATATGCTCTGCACTATTTGCCATCATCGAAGATGTTTCAGCTACCATTCTGGACATTTTCTACAGCAAAAAGTGCCAGATAAATTGTGTTCTCTTGCAACTGTTGCCTACCAAAACCCTGCTAGCCAACATACTGAGAATTATACAAAAACTCAGCTCATCCGTCATGTGATCTGCATTATTTGCCATCATCGAAGATGTTTCAGCTACCATTCTGGACATTTAATACAGCAAAAAGTGCCAGAAAAATGTGTTTTCCTTGACTGTTGCCTACTAAATCATTTTTAGTCGACATATTGCGAATACCACAATCGAACTGAATCCATGACTGATTGAATGCATAAATGCGAGAGTATCTAATGTGTTTCTATCCGCTATTACCCACAGCTTCTATGACAAACGTGATGCTGAAGACGCACTTGAGGCCATGGATGGTCGCATGTTAGATGGCAGGGAGCTCCGTGTCCAGATGGCTCGCTATGGCCGTCCCTCGTCGCCCACACGCAGCAACGGTCGTCGTGGTGGAGGATCTGGTGGTGGTGGTGGCGGCGGAGGAGCTGGTGGTGGAGGTGCAGGCGGTCGTCGTCGCTCACGTTCCCGTTCACCGATGCGCCGCCGTTCGCGTAGTCCTCGTCGTCGCTCCTACTCGCCGCGCTCGCGCTCTCAGTCGGCTGGCAGCCATTCACCGGAGCGTCGCACCAAGTTCTCGCGCAGTCCAGTGCGTGGCGAGAGTCGCAACGGGATCGGAGCATCCGCCTTGGCTGTGGGAGCCTCGCGTAGTCGCAGTCGCTCTTAGTATTCACGTTCCAATTGGTGCGAGGTGAGTTTTTAAATGAGTGAAGTGGATGACCTAGATCTTTAATGAGTGTTCTCTTTGTTGCCTTTGCAGTTTTTACTCGCCTGACAAGAGAGATCCCGATTCATAGATCTAGCTCCACATCCTGTCATGCTGTACCAGAACAGCAGGTATACAAAACAAATTGAACAGTCTTACACATTACGCAACTATTTATAGAAAACTATTTTAAGTTTTGGCAAGGAAAAAACAAAGTAGAGAACACACGCACTATTATGTACAGGATGTGATCCCCACCCACACACAGGTGGGATGATCCCCCCAAATACGTTTGTTCTTTTATCTATCGCCCATGCCATCCCATCCCATCCACCCCGCAAAAGAGGCGTGCTAGGGATTTTGATACAAGATACATGGTAGCATTTAGTTATTTTTGGCAATTGGCCAATTGTGTAGTGCTTCAATTAATAAGACAAAATAAAACTCAAAATAACTCGGCTACGAAATTCCCGGAAATACAAAGAATACAAAAATAAGATGAGGATAAGGAAGAAGACGTTCAAGAGGCAAGAGAATGAATGAAGAATATTGAAGAAGAAAAAGGAAACAGTTTTCTCTGAGCCTTTCTCTGTTTGTTTTGTTACGTTCCGTTTGTGTTGCTCGTTTCGTTCGTTCTTTGTTATAAATCTAACGACAAAACTTATTAACCAGCTTCTCCCACTCATTCTACACATTTATTATATATGCAGGCAAATTGGTGTGTGGCAGTGTTGCGGTTGAGAATAATGTTATGGTTATTGCGAGGGAGGAGAGGAGGAGGAGGAGATCTATCAGATCAGATCGGTGATCGGATTATCGGAGTTCGGATCCGATCAGCACGAGGCATCAGAGCATCTTCTTCTTCCCCCCGTCCAGCGCTAGCAGAGAGACAACACGACACGCCACGAGAGCGGACATCGCGTAGCTGTTGTTGCTGTGTTGCCGTTGGCGTTTCCTGTCAGCCGCTGTCGCCGCCACCACCGCGCCGCTGCTACTGCTACCGCTGCTGCTGTTTGCCGTTTGCCGTTGCTGCTGCCGTGCTGCACACTCTCGATCAGAGTGGGAGATAAAGAAGGGATAGACTATATGATAGACTGTTTCCTTGGCTGTTTGCCGTTAGCCGTTTGCCGGTTCCGGTTTCCTGTTTCTTCACTTCTCTCGTCCCGTCGTTTGTTGCTGGTTGCCGCCGTTTGCTGATTGGCGTAGTTGGTGTCTTTCCTGTGTTGCCGCTTGGCGTTTGGTGGGCGTCCATTTTAAGTTTAGGCGAATAAACAGATTTCCAGCAAAGCCGCTGCAATGGAGACACCTTGGACTCGGCAAAACGGAAAGCTCTTGCACCTGGACTTGGCCTGGATTTGCATCCTCACACATCTGATGCGGGTGGTAAGTGGCAATATATCAAAGACTAACATTTACCATTACATTGCAGCTCAAAGAAATATACAATAAAATCAAATTTATCTACAACTAATGTGTGTTTAATGTGTGACATTGTTTTAAACGATATTAATTGGATGAGTGCTTCATCCAACCTAATAATTGTATGCCCCATGGCAGTAGGCGACTATATAAGAGCCTGTAATTGCTACATTTAAGTCATTCTAAATTCGTAGTTCAAGTTCACTTTCATTTTGGCAGATTCTAGATTCTAGAACCTAGAAAAATGTTTCTCTCTTAGAGAAGCTAATCTAGAACAAAGGCCCTAAAACAAAACCCCCAAGAAAGTAAGTTTCAAACATTTTTGAGGCAAAGAATTAGTGTCAACTGAAGGAAATTACCGCTAGATTTGTGGATGCAGCTGTAGATGATGGTGACTTGCGGCAACAAAGTTTGGAGCTGGGCGTAACTCCGGACGAACTCTACACATGAATTGCCGGCACTGGAGATGAAGCTCACAGTGCTGGGTCCCAAAATTTGCTCCTTGAAAATCCAAATTCGAATATCGAACAGCACCAACAACACGAGAAATAAGCAAATATTCACATCGACTCGCTCTACAGTTGAGTGAATCTCTTTGCGGGAGATAGATGCCATATTTTCGGTGTTCACTGCCGCGGAATCAAGCGGCTAAAATGCCACCTCGAGATTGCAGCTCTGACTGGACAGCCGTGAGTTGAGTGTCCAAACGATGGACAATGTAAGGCGCAATTTGCTGCGCTGAAACTATCTCCTCTGTGCCTTTTTAGGGCGATGTTTCTTTGTTGACTTGCCCGTCAATACAATTTTCAATGTTTTCCGCATTGCCTTCGTGTTTACCATATGCACTTTCGGCTTCTTGCGGATGGCCATCAGTTGGGAGTCGGCGTTATCGGGCTGGGCATTGGCACTGCAGCCCATGAGCAATGAGGAGTCAATTGATTGTAGATCTAGTGGATCCTGAGTGGCGTCTATGTACTTTGGCGGCGTGCTTCTCAGGCTTAGCGATTGGCCATGCTTCTGCTACAAAGCGGCACTACGACTCTTTCCAAGCTAACTCGCTGTAGACAAGAAGCACCTGCTTGACTTAGTAAATTGTTTGCCTGATAAATTGTAGTTGTCAAATTACCTAAAGATGGATGTCCTTGATTTTTAGTGTTGCATAGTGATGAATGTATCACTAGCCTCATACAACGAATGCGAATATATTGTATATATATTCGAATAGTTATTGGTTCATGGTCAACTTGAAATCCAAACTGACAAGTTTCATGGGGAATATCACGACTATTAGTGTCCCCCACTTCGTTCCTCGAACCGTTTCCAAGTGCCATCGGTCAGAGCAGGCGTGTGTTTTATTGACTCAACTAACATATTGGCAGGGCAACCGAGACTCAGTCGACAAGCTGCTCTGTCCCACATTTAAACTATTTTTATCAGTTCAAAATTCAGTTGAAATAAGGAAAAGAATAGTCTCATCATCATGATTAAGTACACGCAGGTGCAGTTGCGCAATGACTCGTACGAGCCGGATCTGCGCTCGGAGGGCACCTACATCTGTCAGTTTCCGAAGCCCCCACCGCCGCCGCCCTTTGGCGACACGGGCACCTGGCATGGACATCTGGAGCCGCATGAGCGTCTGTTCTACCACCAGACCATGAACTCTGTGCGCTACAGCAAGCGTTATCGTGCCAATCCGAATGTACCCAAGGATTCGCTGGACTTTCAGCTGCAATCGCGCTACGATCATGGCCGCGAGTGCTTCCCGGAGAAGGTGGATTCGGTGCTACAGCGCGAGACGTGCATGGCCATCTGCAGTTGGTCCGCGCCTGGCGGTGCCAAGGAGATTGGCGCTAAGCATCAATCATTTCGAGTCCTGCGCAATACGCGCGTTATACGCCGCAAACAAGACGATGCTTTGGGTCATCCCCTGCGCGTTGGTAAGTGTCCATCGAGATCGTAACTTAAACTTGACTAATTTGCGAGTTTCCTGTACAGGCGGCTGCATTGAAAAGATTCATCCGCATAGCGTCAAGCTCATCTGCAGCGGCGTTCACAATCAACTGGTCAACAATGGTTTCTCTCGCCAGACCTCCGATGGCAATTTTTTCCGCTATTAGCTGTGGTCCTCCGCTCAGCGAGGGAAAGCCGGAGCCGAATTGCGTTTTAAAACTTTATTGAAAATTAAATGTTGACAAGGAAGCAGCCCCATAAAGCAACGTCACGCAGTCGCTGCCTCCAGCTTGGGCTGCTTGGGGAGATGTGCCTCTGTCTCCGGCTCCTCTTCTTCCGCTTCAACTGATTCCTGCTCCTTCTGTGGCCCAGCTGCCTCCTGTGACGTTTTATGGCGCTGCTTCTTGTTCTGGTTACGATAACTTTTTGGCAGTTTGTTTTCACCAATCCTGCAAAAGAGAAGTCAGAAATTCTGCTGGAAAAACATTCTAGCGCCTCGCTTACATGATGGTGGCCCTTGTGCCTGGCCCCCAGTGTGGCGCTGGGTTTGTCTGGAAGCGTGAGAGCGCCGAACGGCGACTCTTTGGATTGGCCGCCGCATGCAGCTCATCGAACTCGTAGTCCCTGGTGCACGCCTTCGACAGTATGGCCTGCAAGGGTGTGCCCGGAATCATCCGCTCTGGCCTCACTGGATGTCGTTTGCCCCAGCAGCGCAGAATGTCCCACAGCACGGAGGGCGGTGCATCGGTTTTCAGCGAGTTTTTCGATGCATGCGAGTAGGACACACGATAGCCGGCATGCAGCAGGGCGGACCTGAACTTCAGCATGGGCACAATCTCCAGTTTGAGCACGGAGCACAGCTTGTCGGGTGTGTAGTAAAGTGGGACATCGGGAAGTTCTTCCTGCACCACGGATAGCACCCCCACGATGCGCCGTTGTGTGCCCAGCTCGCTTAGGTGCGTCTCCTGCACAGCCTCGAGCAAATCCTTGACAAAATCTGGATTGTGCAGCGGTGCAGACCAGATGGGGCCGCCCAGGTGGTGCCTGTGTCCGCAGTGCTCGCACTGGGTGTTCACCGCTGGACCCGTTGGGATGCCATACTTGAGCTGCTGGGGATTGCCAGCGGTGGGATTTGGTTTGGTGATACCCAGTGGCTGCAGCGTGTAGGTGTCACAGCCCGTGCACTGATACAGCCAGGACTGCTTGCTCATGGACAGCTTGCACTGCGCCTGGCCCACATGCACGCGCACAAAGATGCGCACGTAAAAGTCCGCCGAGACGCTCAGCAGTGGTTCAATGTACTTGCCATACCTGTTCGCATGACTCTCGATGCAGTGCAGCAGAATGCGCAGTGCCATCTCGTGGCAGCACTTCATCCGGAGTGGCACCGAGCCGTACTTCACGTAGCAGGCCTCCGGGGCATTGCCCGCCAGCACGGCCATGTCAGTGGCTGTGACCAGCAGTAGGCCACCATCGACCAGGCACTGCATGGCGCCGTCGAGAAAGCGATTCGGACAGCCGTAAGGATCCAGATCAACGGCATCGAAGCGCTTCTCCTGTGCTGTGGACAGATACATGAGAGTCCTGCAATGGATTACAATTATAGCAGAAAGTCTGTGCACTCTTTTGCTCTGCCACTCACATGGCATCCGCGTGGCTGGCCTCAATCAGCGGCTCCACTTTGTTGTGCTGCACATTGGCGTTGATGGACTGCACAGCCTGTCGGGACAGATCGTTGGCCACTATCTGCCGCACGCCGGCTATCTCCTGAGCATATCGTATGCTGCGCAGTCCCGTGGCAGCCAATGCTTCCAGTATCCGCAAGCCATCCGCGTACTGTGTGCCCGCCACGTAGGTCGGGGGAGTGGCAATCGGTGAGGTGGCCTCCGCCTCGTTCACCTTTTTGCGTTGCTTTTTGAGCGCCTTCTCGCATCGCTCCTTGGTCAGGCGCTGTTGGTAGACATTCAAAACGGCAATGCTGAGGTCTCGATTGAATTCCTGCACTGGATTGTAGAAGACATTGCCCCCAGACACGATCTCGGCATGGCGCTCGCGTATAATGTTCTCATTGGGGTTCTTCGGAATGGTATCCTGCTATGGGAAATGTTCTTAAGGGCTCTAATAACGAGGTTTTCACTCAACAACCTGATGCTTTTCTTCGTCAATTTCCATTTGATCCGGTAAAAACAACACGTGTGTCAGTGCTGAAAAGCGTGAAAAGTGCACGAAATGTGACCGAAACTTCGGCCTGCTCAATACCTTGATCGGAAATATTTTATAAATAGTTCAAAAAAAGGGAGTCCTTAAAATCACCCAAGCTTCATCTAACGGATTAAATTGTATGTTGGAGATAAGATCCCCCCTATCTACAAGGAGTTTTATTTTCGGCGGCACACCTCAAGTTGTTCAACTGTTTAAGTAGTGGCTAAAATGGGTTAAGTGGGCTGAGTTCGTTCACTCACTCTGATTTATTTGGTATATTACATCAATTGCTTGGTATATTACAGTATATTTAATCAGTTGTTTGGTTGTTTGTGTTTTGTTTTGTTTTTGGAAGAAGTTTTTGACACGCGATGAGCAATTTGAAGCAGGACCTGGACGAATATCTGCTGCTGCAGAGCGATCAGAAGAAGAATTTCAATGTAAAGATGCCACAGCTGAAGGTGCCCAGCCTGGGGGGCATCTTTTCGCGCCAGACAGAGCCCCAGGAGGCCAACAGTTGGCTGAAGGACACACAGGACTCGTGCTGCCCCAAGCTGGTGAGGCGTCATTAACCTTGTAAAAGTCACATGTAGACTGGGTGTGTAACGTAACGCTTCCTCTTTTCAGTCCCGCCTGCAGCGCATAGTCGGCTTCGTGGCGTGCCTGGGCATGGGCGGTCTCTGCATGACGCTCTCCATCTTCTACATTCCGGTGCTGATCCTCCAGGCGCGTAAATTCGCGCTGCTCTACACACTGGGCAGCCTCTTCTTCATTCTGGCCTTTTGCTTTCTCTCTGGCTTCGGGGCCTTCCTCAAGCAGATGTTCTCCAAGCCGCGGCTGCTCTCATCGATCTCCTACAGCGTATGCCTGGTGCTGACCCTCTACTGTGCTCTGGTGGCGAAGAGCACAGCCTTCACAGTGTTGTTTGCCGTTGCCCAGATCATTGCGTTGCTTTTCATGGTCCTGGGCATGGTGCCGGGTGGAGCCACGGGCTTGAAATTCTTTGGACAGCTCTTCAAGAGCAGCGTCTCCGCCTCGACGAGTGCTCTGCCGGTGTGAAAGGATGACAAAGGCGCCATAGCCCAGCGCACACAACGATATAATTTATTTAACCCTACGATAAATCCAAAATATAACTTATTTGTGATACAATAACTAAAAACAAACGAAATCGGCGCTGAATCTTCGTTTATTAATCATACAATTTCATTCCTCAATTTCCCCCAAGTACAAAGTCTTATCGCTAGACGCGGAGAGTATCAGCGGCTCTTTGGGACTGAAATCCACATCGTTAACGCTGCCATTATGTCCCGGGAGCTTGTACAGTATCCTCCGTGTGTTCACATCCCAAATATAAACCTGACGATCAGCGGAACCCGACGAGATCTTATCGCTGCCTGGGGCCCAGGCACAGCGTAGCAAATTCTTCTCAAAATTGTGCTGATGTCCCTGGAAGACCTTGACACATCGCTCGCCGGGGGCATAGGGACGCACATCCCACACCCTCAAGGTGTTGTCCATGGAGTTGGTGAGCACAAAGTCTCCTTCTGGCGAGAGAGACATGCCCGTGATGGTGTCCGTGTGTCCACGCAGATGGTGCAGCACCTCCTGCTTGCGTATGTCCCAGATCTTCAGCTCATTGTCGATGCCGCCCGTGATGACCTGCTCGCCAGTGTCGCCAAAGCACACAGATGTCACCTGATAGGGCGACTCGAGGGTCTGCACGGCGTGTTTCTTCCTTGCATCCCAAATCCTAATGCCGCGATCATCGCTGCCGGAGCACAGCAGTTGCTGTCCCCGCCTCGTGCCCTGGACACTGTTCACGAAGCTCGTGTGGCCCTTGAATCGACGCAAACGCTGCCCCGTGACTATATCCCATATGGCCAGGGTTTTGTCTGTGGAGCAGGTGAAGATGTGCGAGCCATCGGGCGTAAAATGAGCCTCCATCACGGCTCCAGTGTGCCCGGACATGGCCATGACATTCTCACAGTCATCATAGACTTGCCAAATATCTGCAAAAGCAAAGGAAAATTCAGTCATAAGGTTTTTCCATGGTTTTCCTTGCGTCTTTCTCACAGAGCTGGCGATCGAAGCCGGAGGACAGAAGCAGTTCTCCTTCTGGATGGAATTCTGTCGTAAAGATCTCTCCCTCGTGTCCCTCCAATTGCATTATGGGTGCCTGCAGATTCGATGTTCTTCGTACACCCTGGAAAATAACAAATGTATCAAAAGTTCCATTAAGAAATTCGGATGATGCTGCTTCTTGCACCACGCTTACCGATTCCAATAGTGCTTTATCCCGATTTGTGTATGCCATTATATCATTTTTACTGCGTTTTGACTCCTGGGCCAGCACCACACTGTTGTGGGGTCGTTTGGTGCCCATTTTATTTGGTTTTATTCAGAAATATTAAAAAGTTCGCCGACGAAAGTAATTTTTTCTGCCGAAAAACAAGTAGAGATGACACTGGATGTCAGCGATAGTTTTGTACGTTGCTGACAGCGATGTTTTTTCGCAGGTACCGATAGATTACAATACAGATTTTGGTTTTATAATTTTGTTTATTTTTTATACAATTTGCGCCTATTCATATGAAGTTATACACGAAATTGATCTCCCTCTTAATAGGCATCCACGCGTGGTGGCTCAGCATGGAGTTCGGACCTCTTGCGCTCTCCCACCAGCCACTGCTTGTAGCGCTCGTTCCTCATGGCCTAAAAGGGAGATTTATAATGATTATTTAAATAATTCATTAATATAAAGGCCTTTGGAAACTCACATGGAAACGCAAGAGCTGCTTATTCATGCCCACGCACTCCTGGAAGTCGGATATAAGATCGGCACACTCTTTTTTGCCGCGCTCCAGACCGTAGGCCTCCAAGCAGTCCATCATTTTCATCTCAAATTTTCCACATTTGTCGTAGGTCTGATGGTTGATCAGACAGCCGGTCAGATCCGTGAGGGGCAGGCGCAGGAACGGCGTCAGTGACATCTTGCCTGCAGGTTAAGGAGGAAACATTACATTATGTCCATGGGAGTCTGGAAAGAGATTTTGTCTGTTCCTTCTGTGACGTAACCATAACAAAGCTCATGGAAGCTACACTTTGGCTTCCAATTAAACTTAAATGATCAATTCTCTTTTCAAACTTGCTATTTTGTATGGGTTTGTTCTGATTTTACTTGTCGCGCACCTTAAATTCCAATAAATGGGCAATAAAAACAATTTCTTTCTGTTTTTCTTGAACCGACTAGCGCTTAGTGTTGGCAAACGTTTAAATCGGCTGACAGCTGACTCTATACATGTGTGTTTGTTTGTTTGTGTGAAACAGAGTTTTTAGCGGCACCCACGTTTTGCTTTGAAAAGTATAATGAAAAACCAAGAACTTGTGGACTATTTGGTGTCCTGTGGAGTCTGCACTATCTGCCAGTTGCGTTACCTTCGGGCACGCGGTACGGAGTACAACGATATCAACCAATCTTTCCAGCGGGTGAGTAAAAATGGGATTTACTTTGGCGACATTTATTTCAAAGGTAAACTTTTCGCCCATAGCTGGGAGTGAAAGTGCCGGAAAATCAGTTGAGGATGGATGAAACAAATGGCATCTCCACTGATGAACAGCCGTTTAAGAAGCCTCGCCTGAGTCACTGCTCCACCTGTTTGGGCATCTTCTCTGAGGACTTTCAGCGTGAGCTCATCGAGGGTATTATCGCTTCGGATTTTAGCAAATATGACAGCGAGGGCATCGTTTTGGCCATTACAATGCCCATGAGCCTGCAGCTGCGACAGCTCTCCATGTGGTTTGCCCTGCAGCGTAAGTTTGGACCCACTGTCCACAGCAATTCACCGCCAGATGTGCCCATCAAGGAGGCCGTGAAGCTGATTCTACATCCCATAATATGTAAGAAGCTGGACAAGAAGTACGATGCCAACGGACTGATGATCAGCATTGATCTGCGGCACACGGTGGAGGAGCCCGAGGTAGACAAACTGGTGGAACTGAATCGTGTGGCCTTTCCCGGCAAGACGCTGAAACGCATAGAAATCTCGCGCGGATTGCTGGAGAAGCAGTACCAACCATCGCGTGTGAAGGCGGAGACATACGAAAAATATTTGCCCATTCCACCGCCAGCTGTGGAGGAGTCACTCACCCTAAAGTCGATCGATCTGCAGGGTCCCATGGTCTGTGTGGCCGGACGCTACCGTAAGCTGAGCCGCGAGCTCTCGCACACGCCGTGGCTGTTACAGGGAGTGCGTCAGATGGAGGACAGCATCGAGGAGATTATCATACGGAGTGTGGGTCCACATTTCACGGAGACTGTGACAAAGATCACCTTCATGTCGAGCGGACGAGAGGATGTGGATGTACGTTGCCTGGGCAAGGGTCGTCCCTTTGTGCTGGAGATACCCAACTCGAGGCACAGTTCGCTGACAAAAGAGCAGGCCCTGGCCATGGAGCAGGCAGTGGATAAGTCTTGCAAGGTATCCATCCTCAACCTGCAGGTGGTTCCGCGCGAGCAGGCGATGCACATCAAGACGGGTGAGGAACAGAAACGCAAGTACTATCGCGCCTTGTGTGCCCTCAAGGAGCCCGCCACATTGGAGATTCTTCAAAAACTGCAGATCCCCGAGAGCTTTGACATTCAACAGAAGACGCCCATAAGGGTGCTACATCGTCGGCCGCTGCACACACGTCCGCGCACAATATACAGCGTCAAGGCGCGCCTGCAACGCGGCAATCCCCTAGTGCTGGTCATCGACATTGTCACACAGGCGGGCACTTACATCAAGGAATTGGTTCACGGCGAGTTCGGCAGGACCACACCATCGTTCTCTTCGATTATCGGCAAGCCCATTGATATACAGGCCCTGGATGTGGTGGGCATTGACCTGGATTGGCCGCCAGAGGTGGATAATTCTGTTTCCCAATAAAAGTCTGTTGTAAAAAACAAAATAACATCAAAACATCGTCTTATTTAGCGCCAAATCAAGTATGACAATTAACAACACTGCTTTCGAGTTGTGGTTCCTGTACCCGTTCAGTTCGCTCATGGAACCATCACTATTTCTTATCAGCTGGAGCGTGCGCCTCCAGCCTACATTCTTTTCAATGAAATAAAAAGTATATTAATGGACATTGGCGTATACTACAGGTCTCCCATACTACTGGTTGCCTGGTGCATTGACTTCCTGTCCTTGAAATAACTTGATTTGGATACGCCGCTTTCTTTTTCACCTCGACCAAAGTTCTGTGTGCTAAAAATAAATGCCGTACGAATAAATGGAATACCCGAAATAGCCGCTGGAATTTGTACAAAATGCTGTATTGAAACGTGCGCAAAAATCGAAAGTGAGTGTTGCATTTGCAAGTACATAGAGATTCTATCCATGGTCCACGCCCACTTGGGAAGTGTAAGCCTTCGGTTCGACAATCTCCCAACCCAAACCCCCCTTAATGCATATGCGCGCGCGTGTCTAGGGATTGTGTTTGTGTAAATCGTGCGAATTGAAGCGTTTTGGTAGCGTCTCCGACCTTCACACAACCTTCAGCCCACAAAACATGCAGCAACATGTTGTGTGTAATCAATAGAATCAGCAATAGGAGCAGTGACAGTGTGCAGGAGCAGCGTCATCATGGGGCAGCCACCAGCCCCCAGAGCAGCCGCTGAATCAAACAAAATACCCAAAAAAAACAAAAAGGTATCTGGCTCCCACCCCCGCCCTCTGCCGGCTGCCAGGGGTAACCGACAATCAACAAAAAAAATCAACAAATTCTACGCGCTAACAATTCAATCAAAACAAGAGAGAATAGCCAGAGAGAGAGAGAGTGAGAGTGGGAAAGAGACAGAACCGATGCACGTGATACCCTCGCAGATTGTTGCTTTGATAGAGTCATTTCATTTCCATTACATTTTCGTATGCATGTGAAATTAATGGAATATTTTATAGTGATTTGCATACGACATAATAATTGATAATGATAATTCAATAAGTAATGCTCTGTTGCTCGACTCGAGTGTGGATGCTGCTCAAGAATATTTATTAACTCAAAACTGCGTTGGGTTTGAGGTACGAAAATATCATACCTTCTGCTAGGGTATCAAAACTGCATCTGTTTGTTGCACTCACCCAATCGTTCGCTCTCTTGTTTGTGCCCTGACTGCTCGCTCTCTGCTTAATCGCTATTGCTGCTTGCGTCGCTGCCAGCGCACAGTGGGGTCTTTGGGAGTGAAAACAAACACATACTTATCCTCAGTATTGACTCATATTTTATTATTAACCAATCAAAAGTGAAAGTTCTTAGATTATAAGAAGGGCGTGTGTTATTAAAAGTCCAATTATTTTCACGTGTGCCACGACCAAAACGTTTAAGTAATATCTTTGCATTATGAATTGTTTTTCGAACTGCGTCGCCCACTGTGCCCCGCTCTGTGCACCCACTCGCAGTTAACTCGCTCGCGTCGCAGCTTTTTCTACTCAGTTGAGCCCCAAACGCTCAGCGGAAAAGTTTTGCCCCAAGCTTTCGTGCCGTGAGACACATCCGACAAATCGAAAATAAAGTGATCATCGTTCGTTAGTCGTTTCGCCCGCCTTATCAGCCTGACAGCCGGTCGTCTGACCCAGTGCCTAAATACAATAATATCGTGATTAGCCAATTGATAAGACGCGTACCATCTGTCTCTTTCTTTAGCCGCTTGACGCTTTCCGCCGGCGCCTCTTTTGCCTCTCGTATGCTAATTTTTATTTCATAATCGTTTCAAATGTTTTACTGATTTGGTGTTTTATTTTTGCATTTTATTGTGGTACCCTATAGTCGTAGTGTTGGGGTTTGTTGGCTATTGTGATCTGTATGAAGAAATTATTGTTTAGGAAGTCAGTCTCTGGTGTTGTAAGAGTTGAAGACAGTATGCTCTCTTTTTGATGGATTGATTTTGATATATAATGATGTTATCCATAAATGTATCCAAAATCATCACTTTTTGATACATTTTATAGTGATAATTAAGAGAACAATCCATTAAAGTAGTAAAGTGAGCATTAATTGAAACATTGCAATCACAGTGGAACAATTTTCCCCAGAAAATTCCTTCCAGTATCTAGGGTATCCCAACTATTCGTAATATCTTCCACCTAACCTTCCCATTTAATTTCTATTGCATTCTTATGCTAAATTATTTCAACAAAAACGATTGACAAGCGGTCATAGGGTGCTCCATCGCTTACGTCAGCAGGAGGCAACAACATCAGCGAAGCATCAACTATTTACAATTACAACAATCATTAATCTTACGCAAAATAAACAATTTTACCAATTTTTGCTGCCTTTACAGATATTCGATACAAAAGTTCAACGGCATTCGGTAGAGAGTAAATAAAACAAAAAACCAAAGCAAATTAATTAGTTTGTTTATTTGGCACATTCGTTGATCTCCCATATACGAGTCGCGTGTAAACAATACGACAAATAGACAAATACAACTATACAAACAATAGTCACAGAACATACAGAGAAATATTCATCAGAGGCACAGCAGATCGGAGCGGATCGGCGACAAAATGAATGACCGTGAATTGAGCTGCAATGCGGGCGGCCAGTTTATGGATCGCGGACGAATGAACCAGAATGGCGTTGTCCAGCCATTGCTAACCGGTAAGTAGAAATTTAAATTCTCCAGCTAGATTGATACTTTATCGGTAGGTTGATTGGGTTTTCACGGGGTCTAAATGTGTGAGGTTTTTTGGAGGGAATTACGTTTGAAAGGAACGATAAGGGAGAAAGATTTGACTGTAATAGGAACAAAATCGGCACTTTAATAATGCAAGTAGGAAAGTTTTAGATGTAGATTTGAGAGTAACACAATTTAAGCGCGTATAGTGGAATGATTTGCCAAGAGTTGGGAATGTGTGAAAAATTGTAGATTAAGTGATAGGAATTGGGAGAGGAATCCATGGATTTGGAGGAAATAGAATTTTCAAGATTCGAAATTATTATGAAATTATCAAAATACATAAGGATAGGTTGGTTTTTGGTGGTATAATATAAGGAAAGTTTATAAAACAATTACAATAGACTGAAATTGCTGTAGAAAGGTTTATGGGAAAATGTTTTGTAGCAAACCGTTTGCTTATGGGAAATTTATACAACAAATTGATGACAGCTCAGAATTTAAATGGAATATAATACAGTGAAATACGAGGGAACAATTGATAGAAAATGGTAGACAGATTAGCGATAAAAAATAAAGATTTTGAGTGGAATTATAAATAAAATGGCTCCCAAATTAAACCCATTTTAAGATATCCCATGCTGCAGTAGATTTAAAAGACATTGCTCTGAAATATACCCAAAATCATCATCAAATTGGTGTCTGATAAATATAGGTGCAATACCTAAACCCATAATGCGAGAACCATCCCAATAAACTCTCGCTTTTCATATTTAAAACTCGTTCCAAAAAAACATCAAGTGGGTTGACATTTATATAGCACCAAACCGAGACAATTTGGCGCGCGTTTCGATGCTACTTACTAGATCTCGAGAATACACTCGTATATATAGCCACATACACATGTATTTATAGACCACACAGACACAGAAACGGGGATATAGGCGAACAAATACAATGCACGATCTGGTAGGGTCTTTGCACTTAGATAAGAATTTGCATTTGGATTCTATTTGTTTTTGTTGGAACGTTAATTGCGGCCACCAACACAACATGAGAGCTGTGGACATTTTTTTTGCTCCCCTCTTATCTTATCGCCTTTGGCCATTAGGTTAGCGTTTTTGCCACCACATAAACTGTTGTATTTTGGGATTACATGTATCAAAGTCTAGACATTTATTGGATTTACCTTGTATTTTTACAGATTTATATCAAATCACAATGGCATATGCATATTGGAAATCGGATAAGACCGATGATCAGGCGGTATTCGATTTATTCTTTCGCAACAATCCATTCCATGGTGAATTCACCATCTTTGCTGGCCTCGAGGAGTGCCTCAAATTCCTGGATAGCTTCCACTATTCACAAAGCGGTAAGTACTTTCCCATCTATGTCAATATTGCTTTAATTAATAATGTTTTGTTCTATTTTCAGATATTGAATACCTTAAGCAAACACTGCCCGAGGGCATTGAGATTGAGTTCTTTGAGTACTTGGGCAATCTAACAGCGCGCGAGGTCACCTTGTTTGCCATTGATGAGGGCACTGTGGCATTTCCACGGTGAGTTTTGTCCTCTATAGAGGTCTGGAATGGTACAACTATATTTATAGTGGATGTTCGTTCAACCTGACTTTTGCAACTGACTGGCATGTCCCCATCAGTTTAGGGTACATTTCTACAGAGAATTATGTTCATGCAACCTTTACACGTGAACTGCAGCGAATCAGCAGAATCAGCTGTTAAAGCTGTTAATTTGACGTTTTTGATTCATTTTCTCATACAAAGTTAATATTCGTATCAAAACCAGACAGCTAGGAAAAAATACTATCTCAAAATAGATTTATAGCTCTGAAGATTATGAGTATAAAGATCTCAGATACAGCACATCGCTAAGCATATATAGTAAAGATCATAGCAGCAAAGATAACTTGAGAAACAAACAAAAATTTACAAAACAAATTCCAATGAAATCTTCTCTTTTATTCCACAGTGTGCCCATCATTAAGATTGAAGGACCGCTGATTATTGTGCAGCTACTGGAGACCACGCTCCTAACTCTAGTCAACTATGCTAGGTATTGTATCGTATCGTCTTTATCAACAATAACATTTATTAATAATTTATTATCCCCCGTAACAATAACAGTTTAATGGCCACGAATGCAGCCAGATATCGCATGGTAGCTGGCAAACATGTCAAACTTTTGGAATTTGGACTGCGTCGTGCCCAGGGACCAGATGGTGGCCTATCCGCATCAAAATATTCCTACACAGGTATGATACAATAATAAATCGTAACAAATAGCTGAAACTTTCACACGCCTCATCCTGCTGCTGCTCCTCCTACTCTGTACTACCCAGCGTCGTGACAACTAAGGTCATCCGTGTGCGATATAAACATACATTTTATTTTTTGGCATTGCCAAATTGCATGCATACAACTCATTATCAATTAAAAGGAATGGGGAAAAGCAAAGGATGCATGGAATCAACGCGGAGTCATAGTCATAGTCACTTCCAAAAAATGATTTCATTTTGGGGTATGCCATCGAGGTGCGGATTGTATGGTTTTTATGGAACGTTTGACAGTTGCGAGAGCAGGAACTTTTTGTGATCATGGGATAAATATTTGTAGAAAGCCATGAACATTAGTGGTTAATAAGGGAAATACTTTGACTATAAGTTAGAATTTCGATGTAAATTCGTTTAAAAAGTAAGCGCTATAATGAGCATTTTATGTCCTGTAATGCCTGGAATGAGTCATGAGAATGTTATTTAAAACCACAAACTTGTTTGACATCTTTTGTTAATTAAAAACCAACGTTACCAGCTCGATTTGTTTGTGGTTTTAAATGATACTAAATGGTTGTCATAGTAGCTTCAAAAAGGGTTAGGGCTTATCCCCTAATCCTGTATAAAACATAACATTTGAAGTATTCTGTGCTGCTTTATGGCCAAATCAACATTGTATTATAATCCCCACAGCTTATGTACCTTCTTTAGGGTATACCAAACCCCCTACTACCTACCCACATCTTCCAAATTGATCGCTTTCAGTGGGTTATGGGTGGACAAACAGAGGGAAAACACCGTTTTCTCATATTGTTTTGTGCCTGTGAGTTTTTTATGATGTGCATGCATGCAAAGCACGTGTCACTGTCAGTAGCCGGTAGGCATATCAACCTGCTCCTCCTCCTTCTTCTTGCTACTAGAACTTACTCCTAGAACCAAGGCTTCTACTACTCCTACTCCTTAACCCTAGGATTACCTACCTCCTGCCTTTCCCTTAGTCCGTTCTGTGGCCTTCCACCTATAATACATCCCCTCTGTGTTGGGACAAAGTTCAAGAACTCTTGTTTATGTGTTAAACTAAATGTGCGCTGGGCCCCATAGGCAGTAAAAAAATATCCCTAAAAGTGGGTGGCACACGCAATGCCCCCTCTGATAAAGAATGTTGTGTGGGAGCGGACTCGCACTGGGTGTTCATGCATAGGGAAATCGGTGCCTGGTACCACCATCCAGCTCAGAGCTCCTTTCAATTGGCGCTCACACATCGTAACTTTTGGGTTCCGTTTCAACGTTTTTGTTTGGCAAGCTTCAACGCTGCAACTTTTCAATGCGTCCGAAATTATTGTTGGAACTCCTATGAGGATGATAGGTAAACCCTAACCGAACAATCGATGGGTTCGCGTGCGCGTGACTCACGGTGTCAAGGTTCCTGTCAAGGCTTTCCAACACAAAAAGGAGTAGAGGCAGGCTTACAAATTGAAATGTTGCAAGCAAGCATTGTTGTAGTTTGTGGATTTTGATGAGGAAATGAAGTCATATATGATGGCAGAGAGACAGGTGTCCTTTGGGGCAAGGAAAATATATGAAGGAGAGCTGCTTTCATCATTCCATTTTGTTAGCATTATGTCACATTTTTTACGAATGCCAACAGCATTAAACTCCACAAAAACCATTTCGTACTCCCTTTTAGGTGGCTTTGATGGCACCTCCAATGTTCTGGCTGGCAAACTCTTCAACATACCCGTCAAGGGCACCCATGCCCATGCCTACATCACCAGTTTCAGCAGCATTGGCGAGCTCAAGACGCGTCTGCTCAAGCACAAGAAAACGGGTGAGTGCAAAAAACCAATTAAACAATTCTCAGTATTAGTTTGATATTTATTTCCGTTCTACCTTGCAGGTGTCATGGAGGATCTGTTGGAGCATGCTGTACGACATCGTGGCATGTTGTCCCATGTCTTGGATGTCTCAACGGAGGAGTCGAGTGAGGGCGAACTGGCGGCTATGGTCTCATATGCCATTGCATTTCCGGATGGATTTATGGCACTTGTCGATACGTACGATGTTAAGAGGTATTTCGCTTTTAGGCAGATTCTCTCGGAACGTCTCGTTGGGTTTTTTGTTTTTGTTTGTTTGTGTTTGTTTTTTTTTTACATTTTTCCTTGTGTTGAATTGGTTTATGTGTTTGGAAACCTTTCTATCACCTTTTGTAAGACTTCTAATTGTGCTCCTACCATGCTGAATGCTTTCCTTTCCTGCTGAGTCTGCTGCTCTCCTAATTACCATCCTAAATCCTTGTCAATCTCCTGTTAACCTTCCACCTCCCTCTGTGTTGGTTTTAAGTTCTAGTTTTGATCTCTTTTGTACTCGTAAAACTTGAAACTTTTGAGACGTGCACCAAACTACAAGAAACCCCCAAAGAGTAAACCTATAAAACAGGGAAAAGTTTGAGTTGTTAAAACTAGTTTAGAATCCTTTAAACTCCATCCTTCAGTTGTTTTATGCTCATGTTTTTCTGCTCCCCAAATTACATGTTTTTGCCATTCGTTTCCTGTGCTCGCTTTTTTGTCATTTTTGCTTTTGATTTTGTATTGGTAATAATAACAACAACAAAGTATTATCCAACAGCCGAGAAACAGAACAACAACTTACACAAGATCTTCCATCGGGTAACCAAAATGATAGCAAATCCAAAGACAGCAGCAGTCCGTCAAAGCCACAGAGCACTGTCAATGGACAGAAAAAAATAACTTATGGCAAGAGCCAAAAATCAGGCAGCAATGGACACAAGTCACACAATCACAATGGCCATCAGAATGGTATTGCTGCACAGAATATTGTTGGTGGTGGTGGCGGCGGTATTGGTGGTAGTAGATCGCCCGTTAAAGATACTCTAAATGAAACGAATCTCAGCACAACAACAGCAACAGCAACAAAAAGAACAAGTGCAACAGCAACAACAACGTTAACAAGAACAACGTCCAATGGGACGGCATACCTACCAAAATATGTCGAGAAGTCATTCAGGTAAATGTCCAAAATTCTTTGAGGGAAACAAAAACGAATTTTATAATAGGAAAAAACATTTCTTAAACATTCCCAAAACATTTCTTATTCATGTGAATCATGTGCATTATTTCTGTGTGTAATTTCCCCTGCTATTTGTTTAACTTAAGCTTTAACTTTCCATTCCAACTCTCTTTTCGTTCTTGGGTGATCTTTTTCCTAATGGTTTTTGGGTGCTGCATGTGTCCCTCCTTACTACGCCACTAAAAATCATCGAAACATTCATTGAAAAACTTATTCTAAATTAACGCTTTAATAAGCCAACCCATGTACATGCATATATATGTAGATATATAGTTATATATATATGTATATATAATATATTGTATGTCTATGTATGTGTCCCTGCTACTCTATGGTGTTACATTGGTCCTTTAGAACAAAGCTCGTATAATTGGGAAAAGATTGGAAAAAAGGCTAAAAGATAAATCCAGAAAAAACAGGTGAAGTTTCTGCCATTTTTGTTTTTACTTATTTTTGAGATTTTATCTCTTTATACTATTTCAATATTCTACTCTATTCTTTCTCTTACTCCATTGTTTTTGCTTTCATTTGAAATAAGTCTCTTTCCTTTTCCATGCGTACTTTCTGGTTTTATATTCTCCGCTTTTCACTAATTTTTGAAGCCTTTCCCTTTCTATTTATGTTTCCCTTTTGCACTTTTTTCTAACATTTTATCTTATCCTTTTGAACATTAATTTTTACTCACATTTTCTTTAACTTTTCTCTTCTAACATTCATTTTTATTCACTTTCGTTTCTAATGCATTTTATTTTTGATCGTCCTGAATGTGTCAACCTTTTCCCCCTAATCAAACATTATTCGAAACCGAATCAGAGAACCCATGAATACAAAAAATTGAAACAGCAAAAAGAATTTCCTATTCTAACATAGTAAACAAAATGACTTCCGGCACTATTTTGGCAGAGGTATGTAAAACACACGTCTTCAAAGTTACTCGTACAAAGCGACAACAAACCCAATAAACAACACAAAAATCAATCAAGCGACAACAGACAACAACTACACAATAATATCATATGGCATAACACGCTCCACTCACCCAAATAAAACCATATCAAATGTTTGATACAGTAATATGTGATTACATTTAACCAAAGTGGCACAAAACAAATTGGAAAACAGTCTGTAGATGAAATTAAATACGTCAAATTTATAGAAAAACATTGTTCAAAGGCAAAATTGTGCAATAAACTTTAAGAAATGTAAAACCATCTTATTGAATGACCAATTGTTTTATGCACTTTATAGAGAAACATAGCGAAATATTCAAACCACACTCTGAATCACCCTAATGCAGTCATAGTCCACCCAACTCCTAACCAACCCGTGTAAAACTGGTACATGTCCTTTGTCCTGAAACTCTCACCACAAAACATTTTGTTTGGTTTTCCTTAACATTTTGTGAAACCCAATTTAATTTTTTTTTTTTTTATTGTCTAAAATGTCTTGGAACCATTTTGCTATCAACCCTGAAGAAATTTCGAATCCTTTCAATATTTTTAAACAATTTTTTGTTTAGTATTTTATTAACTGTAAATAGTTGAAAGAAAGCGTCCGAGAGAGCACACTGCATGGCTTAACGAACAAATGAAATTAATATTCAACAGTTTGTGCTGCTCTCAAAAATGAGTAAAAAAAACGAAAAATTCCAATACAGGAAAAGATTTTTCTAGAAGCACTTGCAAAAACCCAAAAAGGGAACCCATGTGGTTCCATCACGTTTATAGAGCTCTACACCCCAAACACCTTATAATAATATATTTTTGTGTAAACTTTTCGCCTGCAAATTAGTGGAAAAATGAAAAACTTAAAAAGAAATATTACTTTTGTTGAATTGAGAACCCCAAGCAGCACTTGTTAAAATTTGTAGACTCCATTTTTAATCAACATTTGTTGCTATTTTCTTGCCTTTTCCATAGGAGCGGGCTGTTGAATTTCAGTGCCGTGGCTTTGGCCCTCAACGATTTGGGTTATCATGCATTGGGCATACGAATTGATTCCGGGGACTTGGCATATCTCAGCTGTTTGGCGCGAGAGACCTTCGAGAAGGTGGCCGAACGCTTCAAGGTGCCATGGTTCAATAAGCTTACAATTGTGGCCTCAAACGATATCAATGAGGACACCATATTGAGCTTGAATGAGCAGGGACATAAGATAGATTGCTTTGGCATAGGCACACATTTGGGTGAGTCATCAAAGATGGAATTTCAAACAGATCTTAATGGTTTATTCGCTTTCCCCAGTGACCTGTCAGCGTCAGCCTGCCTTGGGCTGTGTCTACAAGCTGGTGGAGATCAATGGACAGCCGCGAATCAAGCTGAGTCAGGATGTGGAGAAGGTCACCATGCCGGGCAACAAGAACGCCTATCGTTTGTACAGTGCCGATGGACACGCACTCATTGATCTGCTGCAAAAGGTCTCGGAGCCGCCACCAGCTGTGGGCCAAAAGGTGTTGTGTCGCCATCCGTTCCAGGAGTCAAAGCGCGCCTATGTCATACCCTCGCATGTGGAATCGCTGTACAAAGTGTACTGGAAGTCGGGCAAGATATGCCAGCAGTTGCCGACGCTCGAGCAGGTGCGCGAAAAGGTGCAAATCTCATTGAAGACGCTGAGGAATGATCACAAGCGTACGCTGAACCCAACGCCCTATAAGGTGAGCCGAAATGAATATTAAATTTTGTGCCATTTATAATGAATTGGTTCTGGTTTTTGGCAGGTTTCGGTCAGCGATAATCTGTACAATTTCATACACGATCTGTGGCTGCAGAATGCGCCCATTGGCGAACTCTCATGATCTATATAAGGATAAGGGGAGCGACCGACCGACCGAAGCAGAGAAAACATTTCCGAAGAAAAACGAAAAAACAACGTACTTTAATTTGACGTAGAACTGTTCTCGCTCATCATCCCAGAGAAGTAAGATGATTCTTTTTTTTAGTCATTTGCTGGTCATATGAATATTCTAGATTTTGTTGGAATAGAATTTTGGGTTCTATTTTTTTTCGAACAGAAATTCCGAACAGAATTCGAATTTTCTTGCGTTTACTTCACTTGTTAAGTCGATTTTAATTTGTTTAAAAATTAAATAATTGCTAACTATCCATGTATGAAACGCACATTATATTCAGGAATGTGTCCAGGTGCCTTATCAAACGAAAAATAATCAACCAAGAGAAAAGTGTAAAACTCAGAGCAAAAAGCAGAGCAGAAGCAGCGCAGAGTGCAGTGAGATGTATCGAGATGTATTTAATAGATTTTTTAGTACTTAAGTGTTGATAAAATGTTGCGCTAATTAACGAAAGTTAAAAAAGTACAAATGCTGCTTAGTATCTACATTTTGCATGCAAATATATAGGGCACACATACAAGCACACGACCCACACACCAGCACACACCTAACTATATATACATATACTCTATATATATATATAAACGATATCTTACTTTACATATTATGTTTATGTATTTAACGTATAAAATGCAATTGTAAATATGTTCAAAATTTAATAATTATAAGTCCCCAAAATGTACGAGTAGACGCCACAACGCCCATCCAAAGCACTCGCAGCATACCCTACGATACCCACAGAACCACCCAAATAAAACCCCCACTCAAAGACCGCTTCAAGGAAACAAAGAGAACATAAAACCAAACTTCAAACTGTTGCCTGTAGTTTTGATCAAAAATAAAACAAAATAAGCTGAAGGAAGCCACGAAATTGTCGGAGTGTTTGTTGTGTTGTTTATTGCATTTGCGGTTTGGTGTGTCTAAAAGAATTTGAGCTTCCATTGGCTTCTATGGTTGCTGAAAAGATTAAGACATTCAATTGTCATTAAGTTGGTGCTCAGTCATTAATTATATTTATTTCGTTAAGGAACTTCTGTCACATTTACTGAGAGCGTATTCTGGCGCCGCATGCTTGATGGATTTAGACAGAAATGTACTTCAACCACAAGTAAAACCTTTGCAGACGTAGTGGCTGCAGCAAATAACAATCATTATGTAACCAAAGGAAACGAGCAGAGCCAATACCAAGACCATGGCCCAGACACAAGTCCAAGGAAAACACATGCCAGTATATTTTACGATGCAAAACAATGTAACAATATATTTGATTTCTTTCAACTTAAAGTTACAGAAAACAGATACGATCATTGAGCCATGGAGTTTGGCTCGTGGCAGCTGGCTTTGAGGTGCCATCATCAAAGCTATTTAGCAGGAGAATCAGCAACGATACGATCGGGAGCGAACCCGGCAGAGCACTCAGGACACGTAATTGGATGTCCATCTGCAAGATTAAGTTATGGAATCGATTGATGTGCTGTTTATGAGTGCAACTACTTACCTACGCGCTTAACCGACTTACGACACAATTCGTGAAGGGGCTTTGGACCGGTTCAGCCAAAAGCTGAAAAAATTAAAAAAATCTTCGATTTTGATTGAGAATTTATAGCTTCATGGTCGCTCACCTTTTGGGGCGTTGAGTTCCAGTTTGACTGTTGGCAGGGCGCTGTTCCTGACTCCTAACTCAGCTGGATTCTTCTGTTGTTTAAAGTAAGCCATTAAAATCTGTTCAGAAGTTGTCCGCCACAAACTCACCCAAAATGTGTTGTAACTTGTGTCCAGATTGCTCTGACGGGTTCGTATCCGATTGTATCGTTACCAACACCGCTGCGAGCTCATGTTGCCACCGCTTAGCCGGACTTTACAATACCTTCTCCAAAGGCTCAATAATGGGATGTTTTTTCTGGCTTTGATTTGCATGTCAAAAGTGCAGCATTGACTGTGCTCGGCCTTGGTGGTTTGCATTTTACATGCATTTATTTTTAGTAGGCATTAAGCCTTCCTTACCATCAGAGCCAATGCACCGACAAGAGTAGTTCTGAGGCTGCCTCCATCCTCAAACTTTTCGCGACAATCCAATCACTTGCGAACTTCAATGACTAGATTGTTGTATTTTTCACTCATATTTAAACAATTTTTTGTTCCTATCACACTCTTAAACAATTTGTTCCTTTCTTGTAACTTAATTTTGTTTAAAATATGTTATCCGGTTGAGGACTGAGTGCTCAAAAACCGACATATCACAAACCCAAAAGAAATGTAAATTTATTCAGCCTACTAAGATTCAAAAGTTTTGTTTTTTTCTTATTTTTGATATTGTGCTGTGCGAAATCCAGCAACAATTATGTATATCGGAAAATGTATTATCGATATGAAGAGTCATTATTAAAGTTTGAGAGCAGCTTTGAAAACGACATTTCAATAGTAATTAATGGACCATACTATACTATAATTAACAGTTGACAGGCTCACGTCACGTACCGTTTAATGCTTTTTGGTTGACCTTTTTAGTTTTAAACTTGATTTGGAAACACTGTAGAGAATTGATTGATAGATCGGATAAAATTATAGTTTTAGCGCTGAAACTCCTAACTAGCTAGTAATATCAAACAGAACATCAAAATCGAACAATATGATTTAAGAAGACGATATGAGAAAATGAGAAGGTATATTTGGTATATTTTTAAGGGTTTTGCGGTATATTGTATCGATAATTCCGCGGCCACACTACAGCTGACACCGCGCCTCCTGCGTTAACTGTTGTTATTTCCATTTTTATTGGAAAAATAAACAAGAGAATACACTAAAAAGGTTAATAAACTGCATGAAGACTACACCATTTTGCACTTGAAATGCCCAAAAACAACCAAAGAGTAGCTGGACGAGAAAAAAAAGCAAAGATTTGTTCGATTTTTGCTGCAGCTGCGCAGCCCCAACAACAAAAGCAACAGCAGCAACTGCGCTGCGTTGTGATTCATCTCTTTGAAAGAAGTTTTTGGATGTAAATTGATTTTTAACACTATTTGCATTGCAGATAAGCAACAACATGGAGGACACGCTGGACGGGGACACCGGCTCCCGCAAGGATCTTATATTGGATCGCATTAACAAGCGCGACAAGGACAGGAAGAACTATTTAGATGTCAAGTTGGAGCAGCGCTCCAAGGAGACTGTCCAGAACGAGGGCGTGGATTACTTTGCGCAAACATTTGGCCAGCGCGCCTACGACATTGAGAAGAGCATCCTGATGCTGGACATGAACAGTGGCGATGCACCGCTGCCGGATCTCAGCAAGCGGCTGCCAGAGATCACCGTTCAGATACAGGAACTGCAGCGTTATCTAACCGCTTCGACGATGTTTCTCTCGGACTTCAAAATCAAGTCTTGTCAGAATATGCTAAATGCATTGACCAGCAGCAACGATGAGGCACGTCAGCGCTTGATGCCCAAGAAGAAGTTTGGTTTTAGTGGCAAGAAGACGGCGCCCAAGCAAAAGCCACTGCCGGTGGTCGTTGATGGGGAACCACAGGAGAAGAAGACACCCAAGAAGGAGCAGAGCGGCAGCAACTTCACTTGGACCATTGCCAACCGACGAAATGCGCACATTGTGCTAACAGCAGACGAAGTCAATGGCCAGGATATTACCATTTCCAATTTGAGTGAATGTCTGGTTGAGCTGCAGGGACATCCCGGCTCTGTGCAGATCTCCAAGGCCACGCGGTGCACCCTGCTCTGTGGGCCGGTGGCACGTTCCTTCTTTGCCGAGCAACTGGATCGCTGCACCGTGGCCATTGCCTGTCAGCAGCTGCGACTGCACTCCTCCCATTCCACACGCATCTATCTGCATGTCACCTGTCGGGCCATCATCGAGGATTGCAAGAAAATCGAGATTGGGGAGTTCAACTACGACTACCCAGAGCTAGAGGCGGACTATGCTGCTTCTGGACTGAATAAATCCCAGAATAACTACACGGATGTTGCAGACTTTAATTGGCTGTCGCCGGATGTGCATTCGCCCAACTGGAGCCTGCTCAAGGATCATCCGGCACCCAATTGGAATGCCCTGCGTCGCGATTTTCTCAGCAATAATAATAATAATAATGATAAGGAAGAGAAGGAAAAGGAGACGAGCACGATTATATAGTGGCGGCGTCGGCGGCTGCTCTTGACCGTTGTGGCCTATGCCCTGCTGCTGGGCTGGCTGCTGCTGGAGCTGCTGCTGCTGCTGCCGCTGCCGATGGTGCCCCCCACGACTGGCACTCTCACTCGCATGTAAATAGATAATAAGTGAATGAAAATTAGAATATATATATAACCCCGCCCCCTGTTTTTGGCAAATGTATTCTCCCCAACTCAAAGTCCCACTTTCTCGCTCACTGGGTTGTCACAGTTGTTATTTGTGTGTGTGCTGGCAGTGTACATGTGTCTCTGGCAATTTGACATCATGTCCATTTCGGGGGATAGCATAATCAGTGGCTGGCCAAAATGACAGTGCCACACAAATTACAGTTAGCATTCGCAGCAGTAGGAGGCGTGGCAGACAGTGGAAGGACAGTGCGGAAGGCGATTCTCATGCAAGTTTCATGTGTGGCCTCAACAGGACTTCTCAAGTTGGTAACTTCTTTGGCCACAGGGACATTGATGAGGGTCGGTCAACTCTGTCGTGCGGTTTGTACTACAGCGAAAGTTTGGCCACAGTTTTGGGCTACTCTTTGGTCGGGAAGCAAAGGGGAGTCATAACATCACAAGCTTGAGAGGCAGTGTAATCATTCTTCTTTATGCTACTGAGGCAAGGCCTCTCCTTGCGCTGTTGATTTCTGTTGCGGCTGTCGACATGACCGCTCGTCCGACTGTCATAATAATTAACGAATTCGAGTTACATGCGTGTGGGCAGAAAGCCAATGACAGTGGGGAAGACGGAGACCACCGCTGCGACCATATCGACATGCCATATTAGTGAGGTAATTGAACTGCAAATTACACTTACAGCAGCGTTGCCGTTGCTCATGCCCCCCCCCTACTAATGTATGGCGTGCGAGCGAAGAATGAGGTTATGTAATAAGCTGTCAACATGAGAACAGCTGTCCACTTTGTGGCTTCTGTGTGGTGGGTGTTGGGTGTGTGTTTGTGGGGCGGTGGAGCACACTGATAAAGAAAAGACAAGGAGCAAGCAAAGCAAAGTGTAGTCAGAGGTGGAGGAGGAGGGGGGAACAAAAGGTAAAGTGCAAACAATTTAGCACGTGTTTCGGAGGTTGCCGCTGCTGCTGTTGGCCAAGACAAAAGGGCAAAGTTGGCTACAGCTAATGGGTAAAGTAAGGCTACGATAAGAGTCAGAGACAGTAGCTAACCGTCAATTAGGTGGCATTTGCTGAGGGGTACGGTGGGTGGGCACTTTGGGATTGCTATGCAAGCAGCACAATGGGGCGCCAGAACTTGGTGCAATTTTCTAATCAAAATTGTGGTTTTCAGTGCACCGAGAGAGAGAAGAGGATAAGAGGATGCAAAGAGATTCTGAGCAGTGGCTCTTAAACTGAGTGTGGCGAATGTAAAACCTTTTGGTACATGGCTGTAAAACTTTTCTATGCGCTTCTGTTGCTTTAAGACTGTGCTGTGAGCGTCTCCAACTGCGTTGTGGGTTTTTACGCAGCTTGAACAGTAAAAAGTACCAACCTTTCCACTGTCTGTAAAACTGGCTACACCACTCTCTTAATAAACAGTACATCTTAAAATTTTGGTTTATTCTGGAAAGCTTATTCTCTGTCAATGATAGATAATTAATACTCGCAAGAAGTGCTTTAGATATTCAATTGAATTGCTTGATGACCCCATGTCTGTGGCTGTTAGACCAAATGCCACCACCCCAAATTTAACTCCCAAAACGTAATTACCCTGTCAGTCTCCATCTCTCCGCATCCACAGTACCCATCGATTGCCACTTAATGCCCGTGTCTTTATTCAATACACAATCCTGCAATCAAATTGCAAATGAATTGTTCATAATGTGACAAAAGTGGCCCAATATGCCTGTCAGGTGGATGTCAAATGCACACCTGGAATTCGCCTGAATTAATTTTCATAATCAACGCCTGTGCTACGGCCTCAGTCACTGCCCCAGGCAGCAGCGCAGCCACAGCGACAATCACACAAACAAGAAAGGCAAGCAACGCCCGCTTTGGGGGTCGAAGCGTAGCACACCCTGGCAGGTTATTTATTGCTATGGTATATGGCTTAGGTGAAGAAATTTGTTCGCGCAATTAGAAAAAGCAAAGCAGAGCATGGAATGATCAAGAACAAAGCAAGAACAAGCGGCAGCGCAGCCGCCTATGCATTTTTGGCTGTACCTACACCACGCGCTGTAAAAACCTCTCCAACCCCTCCATCTCACTCCCACCCATACGTAAACAAATAGTACCCGATGAGGTGGTGAGGGGGGCTAGGAGAAGAAAAGCATGAAGTGTACTCGAAAAAAGCCGGCAGCGCAGCCGCCCATTCATTTTTGGCTGTACCCACACCACGCGCTTTAAACATCTCTCCAGCCCCTCCATCTCACTCCCACCCACAGGTGACCAAACAGCAGCCGAAATGTTCGATCTTTTGCATTACACATGAGGGGGGGGTGAGGAGAAGTAGAGCATGGAATGTTCTAGAACAAAACCGACGGCGATGCACCGACACTCTCTCACCACTTATTCAGAAGCGCAATCTCTTGAGCTTTCGTAGAGGGAGAGGTGAGTGGCAGTGATTTCAATGAGAGTCAACTTGCAATATGAAAGCAATTAGCTAAAGATGGTGAAGCTGTTCGTGACAATACGAACCGAAAGACTACACCACCACCACCATAGCAAAACTAGCTGATGAGAGAGGAGATCAAGAACAGCAGCACAAGGTGCACATACTAACGAGGTGACGGCTTTCGCTGTGGGAGACCGCCCAGCGGTCAAGATGTCACCTTGTAAGTCAACACTTTGGCATGAAATGCGCTAAGCAGCCCACGCATCTTCGCTGCGCTCACTCTCTTACATTTTAGCCGGTGCCGGGTGCGGGTCGCATGTCGTCGTCTCCGCGTTTATATCCGTATAAATCGGGAATCTTGTGAAATAAATCAAAAAGGCAAAGTGGGTGCAGTTGTGTAGCGGCGTTGGCGATATGGCAAAAGGCGAAAATGGCAGCTTGGCGTATATGGCGATTTGGCGCAAAGTGGCAGTTTGGCGAAAAAGTGAAGTGATGTTGTGATTAACTGAAAACTAACAAAAAAGTGTGTGTTTAGTGTAAGAAAATGTGTGGGCTCAAAGGCGGCAGAT